GTCTCCCCTCCCCTCGCCTCGGCAGCGGCTTCGGACGTCGCCCACGCTTTCGACAGCGCCTGGGTGGCACACTTCTGGACCCTGCCTGGCCTCTCCTCTAACCGCGGCTCACGGTTCACCTCGACGGCGGCTTCGGACGTCGCCCACGCTTTCGACAGCGCCTGGGTGGCGCACTTCTGGACCCCGTCTGGCCTCTCCCCTGTCCACGGCTCCTTCCTCCCGGGTATACTGCTCCATCCTTCCGGGGACTTCATGCCCGGTCGGGCAGCGCTCCTCCCTGCTGGGGACCACCGGGATATTCACGCCCGTCCCCACGTCACAGCACAGCGACCCAGCTTTCTACAGCTGGCGGATGTTGTCTTAATTCGCCGCGACGCCTACCACGGCCCCCTGTGGCCCCCTTACGACGGCCGTTCCATGGCCCGCCCCCACCCCCCGGTGGGGATGCCCTCGCCCTCGTTGGGGCTCCTACCCTCTCCTGCGGCCCCCTTCCGAGGGCCTGTTCCTTGCCCCGGCCCTTGCCCCGGCCCTCGCCTGCGGCCCCACCCCCCTAGGCCCCTGTGGTGCTTCCTCCCGGAAGCGAGGATTGTGTCCATTATTTTGGATAAAATATGCCTGTTTTTATCCACCTCCTCATTGTGTTTCCTCACCACAATCCTGTGGCCGTTGTCCAGCTGCGTAGCAGTTGCTTACTTGGGCCGATAAAATAATCGCCCCTCCAGTAATAGTTTTTAGGACACTGATTAGCTACATTTTATGACACACGTTCATATCTTGAATCAGCAATTGGCTAACCTTTTTTTCCATCGTCCCAGCACATTACTTCAGTCATACAGTGTAGTAGGAAAAGCATATATTTTGCACAAATCATTTTTAAATCTTATTTTACACATATTTCTGGGTTTATTCCATATTTTAAACCCACAAATATTGACAATTTATATAATTAATTAGAAATATTATTATTATTATTAATAATAACGTTGTTGTGTGTGGTTTAGGGAGGGCGGCGCCCTATCGTCCCCTATTGGCCAGCCGCCACTGCATTGTTGTACTCCTGCTTTTACTAAAATACCTGAATATTCCACCACTGATACTACTAAAGTTTCTTGCCAACATTCATGTGTTGAAAAACCCCAGAACTACAAATTACAAAGTACACATTTGTGGGATTTAAATGTAATATTTTATATTATAAAGGCATCAATACCACCAGAGATGTGGCATTGATGTCAGGCTGTATGTCGTGGTGCCTCTACTCAGCTTCTCTGGGGTCCATTTTCAGGGCCGAATGCAGCATTTGTCCTCATTGAGAGCCCAATGAACTGGACTGAGGCCCAGAGCTACTGCAGAGAACACCACACAGACCTGGCCAGTGTGAGAAACCCAGCAGAGAACCAGCAGATTGTTGAGCTGTTACCTGCAGTGGGTAGGTTTTGGATCGGCCTTTACAGAGACTCCTGGAAGTGGTCCGATGGAAGCAACTCCTCCTTCAAGTACTGGAAAGTAAATGAACCTAACTACAATGCTTTAAAGGTTTGTGTGGCTGCAGCTTTCCACAACTCTGGAACATGGGAGGACTTGGACTGTGGAGTGGAGAAACCATTCATCTGCTACGGACGTGAGTAAAATTCACAGCTACATCAAAGCAAGTGATGATATTGAATCTGTTGAAAAAGAAGACACCATAAACGTTGTGACTGATGAAGTTTGTTTGTGTTTCTAGCTGTGCCTGTTTCAATGCAAGTGATAAAGGTGAGGGTGCAGAAACCAAACGGTGTGGATATGAACGACGAAGCTTTTCTGGATGCGATGTTGGTGGAGGTAAATCATGTTTTCTACTTTGATGCAAAAACATCACCAGAAAGGAAATTCCCATGACATGAGAACAAGAGACGAAAGAGGTAGGAAACAAATAAATATCTATTAAAGAATAATGAATTCAACGAAAGAAAATGAAGTAAATGAATTTCAATACGAATGAAATGGACCAAGATGACCATGAATGAAATTCTATATCCAATATCCATTCAATACTTTGGCCACAAATAACAGGACCCAAGCATTTAGGAAGAAGACGTGTAAATATGTGCAGAAGTAAATAGCAGAAACTTAGCCACATGCCACCAAATGCATTAGGAACATGTACAAATACTATTCCATAACCTGAGGTAAGCCTTTACACTGGAAGAAATAAGGGGAACAGCTACCATTTCAGATGAGTGAGCTAAAGAGAAATCATCTGTTTTTACTGGAACGATAATGATAATGAGTTTTTGTGTCTCAGGCGAAAAAGAACCTAAGGGCCCAGGGATTGGACGACAACGTCCAAGTGGCCTGGAGGAAGCAGCCGGATGGACAAGTCTTCCACGAGGAGGAGGAGGAGGAGGAGAAGAGGGATGAGCTCTAAAGCTGAATTGCTGTGTGACTTTTATCAGAGAAAAGTGCATTTCTTTCCTCAAAGTCCTCGTGTTACAGAATTCAGCTGCAACAATGATCTGAATAATCAATTAGTTACGATCATTTTGATAGAAGATTGAGAATGTGATGCTTTTCCTTGTTATATATACATTTAATATGTTTAGGGGTTTTACTATTGAATGTATTTGCTTGGCCGGTGGGAGATAATAATAACATGTTTGGCTTTTGTTGACTTTTGATCAAGATTAAATTACCAATACAAAAAAAGACCTTTAATGAAATTTCATACGAAAATGTGTTTCTTTATTTGCATCCTAATTATTGATTTTTTGTCTCACAATATCTTCAAATGAGTTATGTTGAAAACAGTAACAGGCCGTGCCTTTCACACCTAGGCCTTCAGTAGTGTCCACCTGAATGAATCCACCTCCTAATAGCATTATTATGACGTCACGGCTATAGAAACCATTAAGATGAAACATTAACGCAGTATAACAGGGCGCTGCATCACAGACAGGTTTCTAATGTAGCGAGAATGAATGCCATTACTAAAGCGAGACCACCGAACAACACAATTCAACAAGCCTCCTTTCACTGCTGCGCCGCACATCCTCTCTAGCAGAAGCAACAATATTTACTTAATAAAATGACAACAAAATATCAACAATGTTAAATAAAAGTCATTATAGCCATTACTCACCAATACGTTTGATTATTTGTTCCCAAAAACCTTCCTCCTTTCTTTCTTTCTGAAGAGTTCAGTTACTGTGTTGTTCAGATTACCTGAGTGTTTCAGTTCCAATAATAAGTCCTGTTCTAACGCCATGGAGGCTGATGCTGGAAGTCGAGTCAGTTCAGTCGTATTTCTGTCAAAACACATTGTGGAATATAGGAATGAACAGAGTCCTGGAAACATGCTTTTGGGGTGTTTCTCTGCTAAGGGGACAGGACGACTTCACTGCATCGAGGAGAGGATGCACGGGGCCATGTACCGTGAACTCTTGGCCAATAGCATCCTTCCCTCAGCCAGGACACTGACAATGGGTCATGGATGGGTCTTCCAGCAGGACAATAAACCTCAACATACGGCCAAGGCAACAAAGGAGTGGCTAAAGAAGAAGCACACTTAGGTGATGGAGGGGCCGAGCCAGTCTCCAGACCTTAATCCCATAGAGAATCTGTGGAGGGAGCTGAAGCTTCGAGATGCCAAGCATCAGCCTCAAAACCTTCAGGATTTGGAGAGGATCGTCAGAGAGGAGAAAAATCCTTCCTGAGATGTTCAGAAACCTGGAGACCAACTACAAGAAGCGTCTGACCTCTGTCTGTCCAACAAGGGTTTCTCCACCAAGTACTAAGACAAGTGTTGCAAGGGGATCAAATACTTATTTCCCACAGTTAGATGCAAATCAATTTAATATTTTATATAATGTCAATTTCTGAATTTTCTTTTTGATATTCTTATTCTCACTTTTAAATTGAGACTGTTCATTTCTTTGTAAGTGGGTAAACTTACAAAATCTGAAAGGGATCACAGACTTATTTCCTCCACTGTGTGTCCTCCTGTTGGGTGAAATGTAGAAGCTTGTGGCCTGGATGACAAGACGCTTTTTTTTAAACAATGTAGGTAATATTTTTTAGCCTATAAAGTTATTTTTGAAAAGTGAGGTTTGGAAACATAAAGCTTTTTTAATTGTAAAGCTGCTCTAAACATTCTGAATGTGTCTCAGTTCATGTTGGTTTGCAGTAAACACCATCAGAGGGTGAACATGGACTCAAGCCTTTGCCGTGACAATAAAACCCTTTTGAGCAGCTACAACACAGCGTTTGAAACAGGTATCCAGACACAAAGAAAATAAAGTTTGTGTAACATTAAAGCATGAACACATGTTTTACTAGAATACCCAAAGTATGAAGCTGGAAGTTAGAGCAATAATTCTTTCAATGGTTTTGTGATCTTTTAAATGTATTAGCTTGTAAACTGTAAAGGTTTCTCATTATATGAAATGATCAGTGTTGTTTCAGACTTTTTGTATTGTTTTTGTTTATAGGCATGAATTTGGTTTTCCTGCTGTGCATCACCAGTCCTACGCCCACATTACTCTATATGTCTCTCGTTGTAAATGCATGTGCAAATGTAAGTGAATAAGACTGATACACAAATAACGGTAGGTTCCATACACTCTAAAAACAAATGCTTTGGCTCAACAAAGAAAATCAACGCAACAGTTTGCATCAATGTTTATTGAGTTAAGACAACTTCTAATGAAATTGTGTTAAACCAACAAAGTTATTTGAGTTAGGGGAGAAGGCTTGTCTTTTAATTACCACTTACTTAATAATTGGTAGCATAATCATACTTTTTAAGTTGATTACTCCAAAGATTAATTTGTTCCAACTAGTTTTACCACATTATTCAAAAGGAATTTTAAGTTGAATGTACTTAATTACCATCATTGTGAACACAAGTTTTTAAGTTGACAACCATTTATAAATTAAGTTGCTCCAAATATATTGTATTCAATAGTTGTTGTTTTTAGCTTTTTCATGTTTTTTGCCTTTAAAAAAATAAAACGAACATTTTAGGCAATTCACCTTTTTATTTTGAACTGCAGTTGTTTATTTCAACACATGATATTTCAATCAGGAGAGACTTCATTTAGTTTGAACATTTATTGACACCTGCCATATGATAAATGTTAAGTCTTTGGCAATTAGACCCGATCCTGAAATGGTATATCTAAAGGGGGAAATGCAGCCGTGAGCATATAGGGAACCCCCCCGGGTCTACACTGGTGATGATGCTGAAGATCTGGATTTGATGAGGAGATGGGATGAAGAGGAGGTGTGATGAGGTCTTTGGATTAGCTCTCCTGGCACTGGATGTGATGAAAGAAGGTGGATGGGGAGGAGGCGGGCGGCAGCATGAACACCTGAAATCACAGCTGACTGCAGGAGAGAGGAGAACCATTTTATAGTTTGGCTGCAGCTCGCTGATTGGCTGCTGGAGAATGAGGTGAAATGTAATAGGTTAAAGAGAACGCCTGTGATGAGCTTATTATATGCAGCTGCGGAGTGAATGTATACACCCAGTCTTCCTGAAAGAACTTGCGCTGAGCTTCATTTAAATCTTGAGAAAAAAAAGATAAATAACACAAATGTAAATTGCCCCACAAATAATAACTAAACACATTAGCCATATTACCATGGGACATGGGGACACAGCAAATACATGCTGCCATCACATCGAAGTTAGAGGCCTTTGCATATTTAAAACCAGTGCCAAATATGTCAAATCTGTAAAGTTGTTGTAAAACTACAGAAACAAACTCTCAATGGCCACCAGTCTGCAGATCACACACATCCATTTTACAAAAGATGTAACAAAGATGTTTGCACTGCCGACAGTCATTATTTCAAACAGTATGAACACATTTAACGCAGAATGCTTGCTCATTCATTTGTTTCCCTCGACCACGATGGTTGCCATCGTATGGTCAGATCCTGGGTGGACCGGTCACTGATGAAGGCGATATTCATGTCCTTTTGAAGCACATTAAATAATAGGTTAGCGCAGAAGAGGTAATGAATTAGGTAACTGCATACTTTTTAAACTGTCACTCTTAGCGAATTCAGAGCCATTATTACCAGCTGCTAAAGCAACGCTGGTATTGTTTTCCCCTATTGAGTCTGCATGTGTGTGTCGTCATGGCAATGTGGTCCTGAAGACACACAGAGGTGGTTTTGAGTACTTTGCCTATGTTTAAATGCATGTGGACAGATTTTGTCAATCACAACCGTGCAAGTTTTAGTGTACCTTCTCATCTTTTTTGCTGGTTCCATACAATACTTGAACTGGTTAAGAAGAGCAGAAGCCACTTTTCAAATGTTACACAATCCTTTTCCCATGCCATTGCTGTCAACACCTATCCATGCTGAACGTTGCTAAGATATTATTGATTGGGGTGTGGCCAAAAGTGCAATATGCTTCAAAGTGTAACTGACAGAGAGCAGTGCTTTTGCCCATGGATTTGATTTTATTTCAAGATTTTTAATTATGTCGCTAAACTCCTTGAAAAGGTCCTCTTCCTTTTCTCCAAGGTACACGACAAGGCAGCGGATGGCTATAGTTCTCTGCGTACTTCAATTGTATTGTGCTATCTTTGAAAAAGGAAAAAAAGAGAAATGACCTAAATGAATATATTCTGAATGGGTGACTGCCAACAACTTGCATTTCAATGACAACTCTAAATAACGATCCTACCTCAAGAAGCATGTCCTTGATCTGCTTCACCAAGATTTTTAATAAAAAGCGATATCACAATAGTAACCAAAGTATTTGTACTCTCACAGTAGCCTCTACTACTTTGTACCCTCTCACAGAACTATTCACAGTTCAAAGGCTGCTAATTTTGGTCAAACAGCAATTTGCCTATACAGTGCAACTACAAGGCTATCTACTGTATTTGAATGACAAAAGATGACACTCACCTTAAAATGTCCTTTGTATATATTTATATTTGTCTTAACTGTGGGAACTTGTCCAGGCATTTTAAGTGGGAGTGGACTTGAAATCCTTAACTCAAGGTGCAGAATAATTAAGTTATCAAGCCAATTGCATTACTTACTACAACTTGAATTTAGTTTGAAGTCAATTAATGCAGAAATCAGAGTTTAAATTACACACAATATTAAGTTGATGTGTTTAGCAACATTATTACGTCAACACAACTTATAAATTAATGTTTGCAACTTAAAATGTTTATCTAAATCAATTCATTGAAATGTATATCTTGCAAACATGCATTTAATTAAGTGGTGGTAAAAGGTACCTAATATTTAATGTCCACAGCTCAGTGGCGCGCCATATATTTTCTTTTGGGGGTGCTGTGGGGCAGAGTCCTGCATCGGGTCGGGTACCCGCGGGTGATCCGCGGGTGGTATTTTTTCAAACACTTTTTTCCGGGTTCGGTTCTGGGCAAAACAAAGATGATGCGGGTCGGGTCGCGCGTTGTTGCATAATAAATATATTAAAATAATAATAATTTAGTTTAATGTTTAAATCCTCAGACTTCTCCCCTGCGGGACCGCGCATAATCATAACCTCATCAATCTGCTGCTGAGCAACAAACTACTAATAGTAGATTAACTACTTCATTTAAAAGTTTACAGTAATTCTGGATAATAAAATGGGAAAAATAAACGGAGTGCTCTCTTTTCCTCTCCCTCTCCTGACAGCCCGTCAGTCTCGTGCAGCTCGCTGAACCTGTAATAAGCCGACAGTAAAGAATACATATATTTATAACTAGTTTAGCTAGTTCCAGAGTAGATAAACTAGCTAAGTGTGTTAGGTCTAACTTTTAGTGTATTTTGCTCCGCTCAACGGTCCGTCACAGCGGGGGAGCTGTGATCCGGAAGAGCTGCGTGTTCTCCGTCAGCAGCAGCTGATCTGATCTCTGATCTCTCTCACGTCCGGTTAGACTTCACTCGCGTTTATGTCCAAATCTATCAGATCTAGCTAGTTCTAGTTAATGATATGACTGCCTGCTTAAACAATAAGCGTTGCTTGGCAACGATGTGTGGCCGCAAAGTATAGCGCAGCATTATGCATATGTTTATATGAGGGGTCAAAATCCCATGCTCATAAAATGCTCATATTTTTCTCTTCATTCCCCACGCCCCAAAATAAATAAATGAATATATATACCAATTTTAGGAAAAGTAACGAAGTTTGAGCAGTGTGGGTTTTATATTAACAGAGTTACACATATTTCAAAACGCAAAGTGTAATAACTGCAGTGGCCTTCCTGTCACCGAGGATGACAAAGATCCTCAGTGAAGCACAAGCCCATGTTTCTCACTAAATTGTAAGTACAACTTATTAAAAATATCAGTTCAATGCAACTAATTTGCCATGAATTTAGTGGTGGATTGTAAACATTTGAAATGTAGCATTTAAGGGTTTCTCAGTTACAATGTTGTTGTTTTAATAAATCAGACACTGATGGTGAACAAATTGTTTTTGCGCTGATCAGGTGGTACTTGGCTGAATTTTCTTTTCAAAGGGGGTACATTATTGAAAAAAGTTTGAGAACCACTGCCCTAGACCAACGAGCCACGACAAAAGGCTATTTATTGATCTTACCAAGGATAGCCTGCTATTTGCACTATGCCTCAATAAACAAAGCCTGGATGAAAATGCATGGCTTCTCTACACAGAAGATAAGCCTTGAACTTGTTTTGCCCCAACTCAACACTAGGTTTCTAGCAGGACACAGTATTGGTCAAATTATTAAGTACACTTTGCTTCCAACTAAAATGTTTGCTAGCTACACTAAACCTTTTCCACACCTATGTAGACGTCTTAGGCTCATCCGGGATTGGAACCCAGGACCTCTTGCACCCAAAGCGAGAATCACACCCCTAGACCAACGAACCATGACAAAAGGCAATTTTCTTACCAACGATAGCCTGCTTAAAGAGCCTGTGACACGAGTTTCCCCCATCATCCAAACCCATCAATTTGAGTAAATATTGTCCCCTTGAAAACCGTTACAGAACTGATTTTGGATATTTGTACTTTGATGACCATTAATCTGCCCTTCAATGTTGACCATTTTCTGGATCTTCTCGGGGATTCTTCTAATCCCGCCAATATATGTGTGACGTCATTGCGGGCCAAGCGTTCCAGCTGCACCGTTCAGGATCCCAGCATCTGCATGTAAACGCACGATGGTGCACACAGCAGCAAGCGATGACAGCGATGACAGTTTAATTTTGAACGTGTCTGAGAGCTCATATGAGGCTGAAGGATCGGTTTATGTTGTATCTGTTAGAAGTTTAGGAATTAGGTGCGTCAATATGGGCGATAATACGGTCATGTAGCCAGTGGTGGAATGGGACTAAAAATCAGCCCGGGACTCTCGACCTGCCCACTTCGGTACCGCTAGTAAATTGTCAACGGGGGGAGTGGGGGATGTGCTAGTGACTTATCCGACCAGCCCACTTCGGTGCCGGCCCATCGGGATTCGTCCCGATGGCCAGTCCGCCACTGCACCCAGCCCAGCCCACGTAAACTGTCAACGGGGGGAGCCTCGCTGCGGGGAAACGGTGGACCTAGTGTCCCGATCGGAGTGGGAATAATAATCATAATCCGTGCATTTTATCCATTAATTTCCCCAACATTGTGGTGAAAAACCACACGTTTAATCCATGTTGGTGTACAACTACAAAAAGCATCGGGTGGTTTTCTCATCAGGAAATGCAGACCGGCTCAAACAAACGATTTTTAATCATCATCCTCACGATCATTTAATATATCATATGTTCGCCGAATTGACATGAAAGCACTAATACATGTAGTTTCATCCACTTGAGTTTACAACTACAAAAATAATCGATTTGTTTTTATATCACATCCGACAGGAGGAAATTCAGCAGCTCTCACTACCGATTTGTAATCCTAATTTAATCATCATCTTCACCACGATCATTTATGTTTATGTTCGCCGAATTGACATGAAAGCACTGACAAATATGAATATACTGTAGTCAACTTCATCCATCCATCCATCTTCTCCCGCATACCCGTGGTCGGGTCAACTTCATTAAAACGTTATTAACGTGCCTAAACTCAGTAATTCACCATTTCTACGCATGACAACACACTTCGTCCGTGTTTGGCTCTCTCGCCGCACAGTGAAGCGTTCCCGCATTGACGTCACTTCCGGCTTCCCCCAAAACTTCAAAATGAGTCGAAGGAACTTCCCCGCGATGTTCTAAATTATTGATATTTATCGGAACGATATCGCACCTTCTTTTTTAAACTGACGGTTCGAGATTACTAGTAGCCCAATATGTCATTGCACAACAGTTGTTGGGAGGCTGTCACAGGCTCTTTAAATGACATCGCAAAATACTTTTCTATTTGCACTATGCCTCAATAAACAAAGCTTGGATGAAAATGCATGGCTTCTCTAAACAGAAGATGAGCCTTGATAATTTGTTGCCCCAACTCAACACTAGGTTTCTAGCAGGGCACAGTATTGGTCAAATTATGAAGTGCACATTGCTTCCAACAAACTTTTTTTGCTACCTAAACGTAACCTGTTCCACACCTATGTAGACGTCTTGGGCTCGTCCGGGATTTGAAACCGGGACCTCTCGCACCCTAAGCGAGAATCATACCCCTAGACCAGTGGTTCTCAAATGGGGGTACGAGGACCCCTAGTGGTACGTTGGAGTACTTCAGATTTATTTTATGTTAATGAAAAAAAAAAACATAAGTAATGCATTTAAACAAACTACTAATAGTAGATTAACTACTTCATTTAAAAGTTTACAGTAATTCTGGATAATAAAATGGGGAAAATAAACGGAGTGCTCTCTTTTCCTCTCCCTCTCCTGACAGCCCGTCAGTCTCGTGCAGCTCGCTGAACCTGTAATAAGCCGACAGTAAAGAATACATATATTTATAACTAGTTTAGCTAGTTCCAGAGTAGATAAACTAGCTCAGTGTGTTAGGTCTAACTCATAGTGTAGTTTGCTCCGCTCAACGGTCCGTCACAGCGGGGGAGCTGTGATCCGGAAGAGCTGCGTGTTTTCCGTCAACAGCAGCTGATCTGATCTCGGATCTCTCTCTCTCGCGCCCGGTTATACTTCACTCTTGTTTATGTCCAAATCTATCAGATCTTGCTAGTTCTAGTTAATGATATGACTGCCTGCTTATCAAATGGACCTAAACAATAAGCGTTGCTTGGCAACGGCGTGTGATCGCAAAGTATAGCGCAGCATAGAGTGCCACAATCATAAATCTATCGATCATAAATCTATCGATTACATTTGTGATTCGAAAATTATAAAAGAAGGGTAGACATGTGGAGATTATCTGACTGAACAAAACGTGATCCATCTCTTAATTGTGTGTCAACCACAGACCTTATTTCGAGCTATTTTCAAAAATTCTATGGAGAAATCCCATTGCTTTTTTGTCGAAGGAACCCATGCGCAGCTAATTCCGGGTTTTAGGACGTGTCACTGTGGCACTCTATTATTCATATGTTTATATGAGGGGTCAAAATCCCATGCTCATAAAATGCTCATATATTTGTTTCTCTTCATTCCCCACGCCTCAAAATAAATAAATACATAAATAAATATACCAATTTTAGGAAAAGTAACGAAGTTTGAGCAGTGTGGGTTTTATATTAACAGAGTTACACATATTTCAAAACGTGATGTGTAATAACTGCAGTTTGCCTCATGATCCTCAGTGAAGCAGAAGCCAATGTTTCTCACAAAATTGTAAGTAGGCCTACAACTTATTAAAAAGATTAGTTCAAGGCAACTAATGTCGTCTTAGTGTTATTGCATGATGTTGAAATTGGTTTGCCATGAATTTATTGATGGATTGTAAACATTTTAAAAGTAGCATTTAAGTGTTTCTCAGTTAAAGGTTGTTGTTTTAATAAATCAGACACCGATGGCGCAGCGCTGTACTCTCCCTCTTTATATAGGCTTTTCTTCCACATTGTTTCTGCGCTGATCAGGGGGTACTTGGCTGAATTTATTTTTCAAAGGGGGTACATTATTGAAAAATGTTTGAGAACCACTGCCCTAACAACGAGCCATGACAAAAGGACATTTGTCTGTCTTCCGCACGACAGCCTGCTTAAATGACAATGCAAAACACTTTTCCACAAATTGCACTTTGTCCTCAATGAACACAGGTTGGATACAAATTGATAGCTTCTACACAGAAGATGAGCCTTGATCATTTTTTGCCCCAACTCAACACTAGGTTTCTAGCAGGGCACAGTATTGGTCAAATTGTGAAGTACACATTGCTTCCAACGAACAATTGTTGATACCAAAACTAAACATGTTCCACACCTATATAGATGTCTTGGGCTCTTCCGGGATTTGAACCCGGGACCTCTCGCACCCAAAGCGAGAATCATACCCCTTGGCAGCTGCTTGAGTTCTCAGCCAAATGTATTCCACCAACGAGGAAGAAACGTTACTTCCTTAATGTAGAGATCTTCTAATTTGGTTAGGATGCATCACACTTAAGCTGCACATACACAGCTTCCTGTTGACAGGCTCAGATGGTCATACATTACGCTCTGATCAAGCGCATGGTTTTAGTGTAGCCTACATAAGATAGAGAACTACTCGGCATCCATCTGGAGTCTGGACTGGGATGAGGGAAATGGGAGATGCGTAGTTAAAGATATCTCTTCATGTGGGTTTTGAAATAAGGTGGCTATTTTACAATGTTCCCACAATAAATAACTTTTTCATGTGCAATAGGCATTTCCAGTCTTCTCAGCAGGAACTCAGGCTTGAAACCTACTTTTATTTACCTTTCCTTAAGTACCTTGGTCCAAGGTATCAATTTTAGCAAACAATGGCAACCTATTCTCCTCATGCTGTGCTTACAGAGAGGTGTAGCAAAGTACAACTGTAAACTAACATGTTTTTTTAAGAAAACAAATGTCTTTATTTTCTTTATTGAACTGAAAATAAATGTTTACGTAATAAACTGCTTTCATTTTTAAAGCTTCTTAGAGAACTAACTAAAGTATTATTTAAGTGTTGATTATATTTCACATCCTTAATCTAAATGTGCAAAGTAACTAAAGGTACAAAATAAATGTAGTGGAGTATAAGTACACAATTTACCTCTGAATCGTAGTGGACTAGAAGTAAAACAAATTGAAATACTCAACTTAGATACACTCAAAAGTGTAATTAAGACTTACAGTGCTTGAGTAAATGTACTTTGTTACTTCCCACTTTTGACAAGTTATGAGTACTTCTTCCACCTCTGCATACAACAACATATATTTGGTGTCAATGCACCATTAACCTTGATGCAAACCGCCGTATAACTCAAAAAGGAAGAAGAAGAAAATACATTTATCAAAATGTGTCGGTGATGTTAACGGAAACCCCGCAGAGTGAGACCTCTTCTCACGCTCCGCCTCCTCTTTGCTCAATGTTTTAGTAAACGTGGCCTTACCTTACCGCAGCATCACTATTGTGGATGAATGAGAAACACCCAGCGGTTCTTCCACCTCTTCCAGCCCGTGTCTCAGCTACAGCACACAGCCCGCTTCTGAACCATGTCGGAGACGGAGCAGATACCGGAGGCCGTCGCTGCCGTCCTGGAGGCCCTGAACAACACGGACTCCAACGGAACCGAGCAGGCTCTCAACGCGACGGCTAAATTCGTGGCGAGTCCGGAGGGCACCGCGCTGGCGTACGGCAGCCTGGTGTTCATGGCTCTGCTGCCCATCTACTTTGGAGCCCTGCGGTCTGTCACTTGCTCCAAATCAAAGGTAACTTATTCCGGCAGCAGCGATGGAGGATCTCGATGTGTTAACCCGGTGTCTCTTCAGTCAGCCGTTGGCCTCAACCGGTTGGCTGGTGAAAAGCTAACGTCTGGCTAACGGCTTATTTCAAATTGTATTCCTTGAACTGAACGTTGATAAAAGCCAAGGTTAGAGCTAAATAAAGCCTGAAAACGGGGATTAATTTATATGACAAAATAGCAGAAATAAGGTAGAACTAACGTCACAGCTGTAAAGTAGAATCAGCACCACAAGGCCTGAAACACAACACAAATAATCAACAGGTAAATAGAAATAATAACCGTTAAAATGCTAACAGCTGTGACGTTAGTTCTACCTTAATTCTGCTATTTTTGTATTCAAATTAATTACTATTTTGAGGCTTTATTAAGCTGTAGCCTCGGCTTCTATCAGTGTTTAGTTCGAGGAATACTGTTTTAAAATAAAGTAAAATTAACACCACAAGGCCCAAAACACAACAAATGTAACAACAGGTTGAAATAAAACCAAAGACTGATAAAAGCCGAGGCTACAGCTAAATAAAGCTTCAAAACAGGGCTTCATTCTTATAAAAAAAATAGCAGAATTAAGGTAGAACTATCGTTACAGCTGTTTACATTTGAACGGTTGATATTTAAACCTGTTGCTTATTTGTTGTTCTGTTTGGGGCCTTGTGTTATACTTGAGTTTAACTGTACACATTTGAGATACTTGTACTTTACTTGAATATTGTGCTACTTTGAACGTCTTCTACCCCACTACAATTCAGAGGTAAATGTTGTACTTTTACTCCCCTCAAGTCTTAAATCAGATTTTAAGTTCTACCTGGAGTAAATTCACAAGCTACCCTGCAGTATACAAAGTCATTCAAACTAGCTGCACCTTTACCAGCTTTGAGAACACTTTAATAATAAAACACATCATATATATTATTCTGAAATGGACCAATCTAACAGATCATCAATCATATGAGCCGGCCCGGCTAAAGTAACTGGACGGCCTACCTGCCTGTCAGCCTTCCATCTGGGCACAAACTGATCTCGTGCCCTCATTGGTCATGTGCGCGTTCGTGTGTGTTGGAGGAGGGGCTCTGTGAGGAAGTCTGAAGGAAGTGGAAGATTTTTTTCCGGCTGTGTATTTTCAAATTCTAGCGCACTCGAGCTGGTTTCTCCAAAATTACCGACATTAATCATTAATCCCAATCTGCAAAGTAGCCTACCTAAAAAAGATATGAAATAAATGTATTGGATTCAAATTACACAATTTACCTCTGAATTGTAGTGGAGTAGAACAGTAGCGTGGCGTGGGGAAAAATGTAGGGGAAGCCCATTTTTTGGGTCGGGGGGTGGTCAATAACGTAACCAGATGAGTGATTACAGCGCCCGGTATCATTTGACACACATTTGTATCACACAGATGCAGGACTTGCACACGCCTGTTATCTAACCGACAGGTCCGCACGCACTCTCCAGCTGAAACTCTCTCCTTATTAATTTAAGCATTTTACTTATTAATGTATGCAGACAATCACACAATCTATGTGATTTTTGGATTTACCGTGCCTCTCAATTGCCCGTGACAGGTTGGCAAGGTCGATGAATCCTGAAGTTGCCCAAGGATTGTTCAGGGAGCACGAATCCTTGTCAAAAAGAAGACATGGCCAGCCAAATAGACGCTGAAGTTTAGCGCTTCCAGTTAGCCACTCCGTGCGGACATAATTGTCCTCATTGAACGTCCGATTCTCTCCCTTTTTCCTCTGTGTACACACAGCTCGAGTGCGGGCATTTGCCTGTCATATGATTTAATTTTTAGTTGCTGCTGTAGCGGAAGTTTAGTAAAGTTATGTTTGATTAAGTACGCCAAATCTCCTCCCTCCATAATGCTTCATTTGCTTGATAATTTCTAACGGCGGTGATGACAGTTACAGTATTAAAACTGATGTTGATGTGATTTGATTGGATGGCAGTGTCCAATCAAATCGCCAGCCGCCAGCCGCCTCTGAAGGGAAGCAAGAGGCGGCTAGCTTCCCTTGGCATGGCCCTGACCAATCACAGGTTGGCAGGGGCATCACGTGGGCCTCATCTGATTGGTCAATCCCTCCATTTTTTTTCACCAAGGGAAGCTAGATTCGGCTGGCCTCCTCTCGCAACAGTGAGTGCAATCTACTGTTTCACCATAACATCTAGAGGGGCGCTGTTTGTTTCACTCTTTGTAAAATACTCAATGAGAATGGGGGAGAGACGGGCCGGCAGCAACACACAGCAAAGGAGAATTATCGAAACAAAACAAAGTGTTTGTATTTATTTATTTAAATTATAACTACAATCCGAAAAAACAGGGGAAGCCTGGCTTCCCTTGGCCTCCGGGAGAAAACGCCACTGGAGTAGAAGTACAAAGTAGTAAAAACATGTAGATACACAAATAAAGTACTAGAATCTCAAAATGGTACTTAAGTAGTGTACTTGTGTAAATGTACATGGTAACTTTAGACCACTGCAAATTAAATATTGATAAATGTGTGAAAAATAAAGACATGCTAGAATGTAGCTGAGCTAGAATGTAGCTGAGCAATTATACAGTTGTGTGTGTGTGTTTGCAAGTGTGTGTGTGTGTGTGTGACGTGTACAAGAACATGCGCAGTTTAGCCTGTTAGCTTTAGGTTAAAGAACTCCCACATCCTCTTTGCTGCTGGTGGTTTCACTGTGAGATGACTGGCAGGTTCTGTGCGTCTGACGGATCAGTCATGGTGTAATACAGGCCTGTTGTCATTGATTTAATATGATAGGCTTACACTGAGCACAGTGGCATGTAGAGTCACATTTTAAGAAAAAGCAGAAACCATTAAAACCCATATGTTCTCATATTTTCTGAGGTATTATCCCAAGTGTGGTTTCAAGGCTTTATTGTCATTTGCACATTAGCTACAGTGTAGATATGGCAATGACAAATATTGGCCACAGGCTCCTCCAACAGTGCAACATATATATATATATATATATATATATATATATATATATAGAACAAATAAAACAGATAAAATATTGCAAGAGAATGTTTTGAGATGTGTAGCTGGGCTTGAATCCGGCTCCTGAACTCCTTCTTCTTCTCCTCCTCTCTTCATTCTCCCTGTGTCTATTCCCTGGCAAACCTCTCTAATGAATTCAAACTGTTTTCCTCACTGATGTCAACAATGATAGTTTTGCTTCCTGTTGATTTGAATTCTGAGGGCCTTGCTTTCAGTCCTCCTCTTTGTTGCCGATCTGATCCCTGTCTCTCTTTCCTGTCTGTCTGTGCACATCTGTCTGTCCATCCATTCTGTCTGTGTGTCTGTAGGAGCTCGGAGAAAATGAGTACGATTCTGGGTTCAGAGTGAGTATAAGAGCCGCTGAGGGCACCAAATACACACACGGCACGAACACATCAGTTAATAACACTGGAGCTGTTGAACAGTGAGTGATAATGAGGAGTCCCCTCAGTGCCTTGCTACATTCAAATGGCAGACAGTAACACACCACAATCAGGTTTTTTTTCTACATTTATGTGACTCCAGTCTGTTATTTTCGCAATAGAGTGGTGCAGTGATGACGACCCGGAAGCTAGCATTACAAGGGCTAGCAATGGGATTTTGGAATATTGTTAAAAAAATGGCAAACAAACGTTTATGATTCTTACACGTCCCTAGAAGTAAAAACTACAGCACGGTCACATGACTGCTCCACTTAACTCAAGGCGACACCATTTGATTTGTTGTATTATTACAGAAAATAAGCTCTGTTGCAAAGAAACGTTTATGTTACTTAAATGGATAATCTCTGCATAATAACACCACATCTCACTTTTAGTCGAGAGAACAAGTGCTATGCTAACCTTACGGTACGGCCTACAAAAATACTTCGTCCCTGCAGCAGTCCATATACCACATACAGAATTCACCAGTGATTTGAGTGAAGGGATCATCGACATGGAGCCCTTTTTAATGCAGCGACAAAGATGCATTTTCTCCTTCTGGCCTCTTCTCCTTCCCATCATTTTGCCTTGCGAATCTTCCTTCTTACCTTCCTTCCTTTCCTCTCCTCTGTCCCACTTTCTCTCTCGGGGGAGTAGATGGAGGTGACTCAAGCTTCTCTCTCAGGGACTTCTGTCAGACTCTCTATCGTTTGTCTTTGCTAACAGCAGTATGAGTGTAGCAGGAGGATTACATAGGAGAGTTTCACCTGAGCTTCAGTTGAATTTACGTCATCCTTTTAAATGTAATGTGTACAGCGACATCATCAGCAAGTGTCTTACCTAAGAACAAAAACATATTTAAAGAGGCCCTTTTGTGCTTTCTGGGGTTTTCCATTTCCTGTAGTTTGTTATATAGGTTTTTGTGCAAGGTAATGGTCTGCAAAGGCTAGAATTCCTGTGTTCCCTCCAGAGGGAGTTTCTTTCCTACACTCCTGACCAATCAGAACGGAGCCGGCCAGCTAACCAATCAGAGCAGACTGAGCTCTGGTTTCAGACAGAGGGTGAAAGGAGGTGCTGCAGCACAGACAGTATGAGAAAAATAAAGAGCTTTTTGAACATTAAAGCATGGAGAGATGTCCCAGTAGAGACACTACATACTGATATACAACTGAACATCAACAGGAGAGGACTCTTTAAAGTAGAGACACTACATACTGATATACACCTGAACATCAGCAGGAGAGGACTCTTAAAGTGGAGGACACTACATACTGATATACACCTGAAGATCAGCAGGAGAGGACTCTTTAAAGTAGAGCACTACATACTGATATACACCTGAAGATCAGCAGGAGAGGACTCTTTAAAGTAGAGACACTACATACTGATATACAACCTGAACATCAGCAGGAGAGGACTCTTTAAAGTAGAGACACTACATACTGATATACACCTGAACATCAGCAGGAGAGGACTCTTTAAAGTAGAGACACTACATACTGATATACACCTGAACATCAGCAGGAGAGGACTCTTTAAAGTAGAGACACTACATACTGATATACACCTGAACATCAGCAGGAGAGGACTCTTTAAAGTAGAGACACTACATACTGATATACACCTGAACATCAGCAGGAGAGGACTCTTTAAAGTAGAGACACTACATACTGATATACACCTGAACATCAGCAGGAGAGGACTCTTTAAAGTAGAGACACTACATACTGATATACACCTGAACATCAGCAGGAGAGGACTCTTTAAAGTAGAGACACTACATACTGATATACACCTGAACATCAGCAGGAGAGGACTCTTTAAAGTAGAGACACTACATACTGATATACACCTGAACATCAGCAGGAGAGGACTCTTTAAAGTAGAGACACTACATACTGATATACACCTGAACATCAGCAGGAGAGGACTCTTAAAGTAGAGACACTACATACTGATAGTACACCTGAACATCAGCAGGAGAGGACTCTTAAGTAGAGACACTACATACTGATAATACACCTGAACATCAGCAGGAGAGGACTCTTAAAGTAGAGACACTACATACTGATATACACCTGAACATCAGCAGGAGAGGACTCTTTAAAGTAGAGACACTACATACTGATATACACCTGAACATCAGCAGGAGAGGACTCTTTAAAGTAGAGACACTACATACTGATATACACCTGAACATCAGCAGGAGAGGACTCTTTAAAGTAGAGACACTACATACTGATATACACCTGAACATCAGCAGGAGAGGACTCTTTAAAGTAGAGACACTACATACTGATATACACCTGAACATCAGCAGGAGAGGACTCTTTAAAGTAGAGACACTACATACTGATATACACCTGAACATCAGCAGGAGAGGACTCTTTAAAGTAGAGACACTACATACTGATATACACCTGAACATCAGCAGGAGAGGACTCTTTAAAGTAGAGACACTACATACTGATATACACCTGAACATCAGCAGGAGAGGACTCTTTAAAGTAGAGACACTACATACTGATATACACCTGAACATCAGCAGGAGAGGACTCTTAAAGTAGAGACACTACATACTGATATACACCTGAACATCAGCAGGAGAGGACTCTTTAAAGTAGAGACACTACATACTGATATACACCTGAACATCAGCAGGAGAGGACTCTTTAAAGTAGAGACCACTACATACTGATATACACCTGAACATCAGCAGGAGAGGACTCTTTAAAGTAGAGACACTACATACTGATATACACCTGAACATCAGCAGGAGAGGACTCTTTAAAGTAGAGACACTACATACTGATATACACCTGAACATCAGCAGGAGAGGACTCTTTTAAATTAGAGACACTACATACTGATATACACCTGAACATCAGCAGGAGAGGACTCTTTAAAGTAGAGACACTACATACTGATATACACCTGAACATCAGCAGGAGAGGACTCTTTAAAGTAGAGACACTACATACTGATATACACCTGAACATCAGCAGGAGAGGACTCTTTAAAGTAGATACACTACATACTGATATACACCTGAACATCAGCAGGAGAGGACTCTTTAAAGTAGAGACACTACATACTGATATACACCTGATCATCAGCAGGAGAGGACTCTTTAAAGTAGAGACACTACATACTGATATACACCTGAACATCAGCAGGAGAGGACTCTTTAAAGTAGAGACACTACATACTGATATACACCTGAACATCAGCAGGAGAGGGCCCCTTTAATCTGATGATTCTCTTTTTTTAAATTGAGAATTTTCTTTTAAGGAATGCATTTGTTTTTTTAGCCTGAATGAGGACTTAGGACTTAGGACACTCTTTTTTAAAGTACACAAATAAAGCTATGAATGTAAAAAGTTGACTTTCGGTTCCACCCTACAGTATAGTGTTTAGTTTGGTGCTCGAGGTTGTACATGTGAGCAGCTGGTTGTAGAAACAGAAGGATGCTTTTTATTTTCTGGTCCTCTAGTTTGTATAGAGAACGTGTTGTGGGTCCATTGGAAAAGAGGGTGCATGTTTGTATCCTGCTCCTTCAACCTTAATCGTTTGACCCTTTCAAAATCAATGGGATTCTGTGGGACCAGATTTGTTTTAATTTAACTTGGTGATAATGGTGTTATTAAGAGAAATGATGGTCCTAACCGCAATAATTACACTCAATAAAGTCTTAATACTTTTAGTTTTACATAAAATATTACACATGGTAAACAAATTAAACTTGTTTACTTGATACATGAAGTTTTACCTGCTGGTGGAAATGATGCTCTAATGTATAATAACTACTTTAAGAGTATTTAAGTTTTTGTTTTAGTTGCTTTAACACTATTTAAATGTGTGTTTCTTGGTTTAACTAACTTAAATGTTGTTTGCATTGTTTTGATGTAACTAGTTGTCCCTTGCATTAACACTGAATGCTACAACACCCCTCCATTGCTTCCCCTCTTCTCTTTATTTATCTCTGTTTCTCTCTCTCCTCCCAGAATGCATCAGACATGCCTGAAACGATCACCAGTCGAGACGCCGCAAGGTTTCCCATCATCGCCAGCTGCACTCTGTTCGGGCTCTACCTGTTCTTTAAGGTAACACAGGGTTTCCTCAGCCCACCTGCAGGGGTTTCACGTTTTGGAGTTTTCGGATAAATGCATGAAATATCTCAAATTCCTACAAAAGACAGCAGTGATGCAACCTGAAAGAAACATTTGGAGAGAAGTGTTTAGCTGATTAAAATGTTAGCATAGACTAGACGTTGTATACACTTCAGTATGCTAGTACATACTCTAGTATAGTAGTAATTATGTTAGTATAGTAGGGCTGACAACTAGTTTGAAGCCTAATTCATAACGTCTAAATGCGGCCCAGGATTTCTTTATTTTCTATCTATTGAATTTAAACCTTGTATATTCGGCATTAACATATGGCTTATTTATGAATTAAAATACATTTTATTATACTATTTGTAAAATGAGTTTCCAGTGCCTAGGTGTTAATTAACACATTCATTTACAATGTAAAAAAACCTTACATTTACATGCCAAGTACATTTTATTTATAAAATAATTTCAATTATGAATGACGAAGGCTGACATCATTTGAATTGATGATTGATCTATGCAGTTCATCCACCTAACCAATGTTTATTACAGTAAACAATTCTCCAGTTTTTACTGCTTACCATTTGTCGGCTCAAACATCAAATCAAACACAGTTGCACAAACAATAAATGACAATATCCACCAGCTACTCTAAGCTGAAATAAAACTGATGTTTGGGAGTGAAATATTTCCACAAATCTCAAACATTTCCTCAGTCAAGCGTTCATGAAAAAAAGGAAACCTGCAAAAACAAGAGCCAGCCTAAGAAAATAAAAACCGGCAGCTCTGTACATGCATACGATTAATAACAGAACGGTTGAAGATAAAAAGGCATGCAAATCCAATTCAAAGTCTTCCACACTCAGTTGAATGTGTTCTGGCGCAGGTGTTTTCTCAAGAGTACATCAACATGCTGCTGTCCATCTACTTCTTTGGCCTGGGCGTGCTGGCTCTGTCTCACATCATGAGGTAAAGCAACACACACACATGCATACTAGATGTTGTGATTAATGACAAATAGAAGCACAGAAAGTCATTTGGATGATTTATGATTTCTTCCTGTGTGTGTGTCAGCCCTCTGATGTCCAGGATCTTCCCAGCTTCTTTCCCTAACAAACAGTTCCAGCTGCTCTTCACTCAGGGCTCCGAAGAGGCCAAAGAAGGTGAGACCTGCTGAATAAAGTGTTTAAGGATGTTAATAGAGCACTCATTTCATCTTATACTGATGATCAGGAATCTATGATTTGTTTAATTACTTTGATTCCACTGTGATTAGATAACTGGTTCAACCAACCGACAAAATCAGAGACAGGATGCACCGATGTACGATACCAATGTCGGCTACCAATAGGAAAACTCTTGCATTTAAACAGGGATATTGGTAGCTTAGTAAAAGTAGTGTTTATTTCATAATAATAGGAAATCTTTTCAACCTGTCTCTTTTTTTGGATTCAAGTCTGACCAAAGCTCCACATATCTCTCCCTCTCTCCACAGAAATAGTCAACTATGAGTTTGACACCAAGAACCTGCTGTGCCTGATCATCAGCAGCGTGGTGGGAGTCTGGTACCTGCTCAAAAAGGTAACCTTGAAAGAGTTCATATGGAAATGAAAGATGAAATAGCAGCAGCTGTTATTGTTGGTGACACTCCTGACTCCTGAAGAGCTGCACAATGTGGCAGCACTGTTTTACTACCATCATCCTCTTATTGTCCATGTCATTGTATCGTGTTCAAACAATCATTGTGACTTTATTTGTAATATTTGACTAGTTTCAACATTCCAATTTTTGTCTATCCCTTGTAAAACACTATAAAGTGCATTTAACTTTTTTTTTTTTAATGCAGTTAATCCCTGTTGCTATGCCAGTAGGCAGGGCAAGTTTATTTATATCGCACACTTCAACACAAGGCAATTCAAAGTGTTTTATCAAAACAAAAGCCTTGGATCATAGTGAAAAGCAGAGGTAAAGACTTTATCCTCGACTTTAAAAGATGGGTTGCCGTTTCTTGGATTTGTTTTATACAAACTAAATCCTCAAAAACTGGAGTGATACGATCCACTTTCCTGGCGTTAGATCATCAAGAAAGATAATAGTTTATCATCACAGCTCAAACACATCTAACCTGTGTGTGTTTGCAGCACTGGATAGCCAACAACCTGTTTGGCCTGGCGTTCGCTCTGAACGGAGTGGAGCTGCTCCACCTGAACAACGTCAGCACCGGCTGCATCCTGCTGGGGGGGCTCTTCGTGTACGACGTCTTCTGGGTGAGATTACCTTCCTCACACACATTCACTCACAATTTAAATTGAATAAAAAACACTATACTTAATTCACAGCATCTCTAAATAACAGCATTTAAAGGGGACCTACCCTGCAAAATGCATTTTTGTACGTCTTTTGACGATGAGGAATATGTGTCCCCGGTGTGTCAGGGAACTCACCAAGTGTCAGAAAACACAACCCTCTCTTTTCCTCCGTACCCAAATCTCTAAAAACGGGGCTTTGACGGATCTGATACAGACTGATCCAGATTTGAAGTTGTTCTGACGTCAGGAACGAGGTGCTCCGCCTATATGGGCAACTCTCCACCTATCAGGGGAATGAGAGGTTGCCGTGGCATGGTAACAGCATGGTAACATGGCTCGTGCCTCACCCCCCTCCTTTGCAGGGGGTGTGGTCAGCTGCAGCTCATTTGCCTCAGAATCAGCCCTTGCAAAAACAGGGCTGGAATCGAGCAAATGGAGCGAAATGAGGCATGGCTAAAATGCATAATCTGTTTGGTGTTTTGAAAAAAGAACTTCACAGACATGTTTTATATAGGTATGGCCCTACAATATATTATTCAAACATAGCATGATGGTCCACTTTAAGTGTAGTCACAAAATGAGTGATCCTTTTCAGCTCAGATTTTTATTTTGGGCCTCTTACAGTCATAAAAACCTTACTCTAACTCTTTAAATGACTAAAAACTAAGTGCTCTGATTGGCTGACAGCAAGTAGAGGCTTCTTGTCTTAGCTCCTCCAACCATGTTTTCCATTCATTATTGCTCTACTTGCATCTAAACACATTAAAAGGAAACACACAGAAAGTACTTTATAGTTTCATCTCCCACTGGGATTAAAAAAAAGTTTATATTTCTTTCTTTGTCCCCAGGTGTTTGGGACCAACGTCATGGTAACAGTTGCCAAGTCCTTCGAAGCACCAATCAAATGTGAGTATGTGAGGTTGTTCTGAATACCTGCACGAATATCTCCGAGTACATGAGTCACCGCCTCAGTGCTCACGCTGCTGTGGGTGTTAAGAGCTCACAGTGGTCACAACCTGTCTGAGACACCTTTCCTCACAACAACAAGCTCATTTCAGACAATGCTTTTATTTATAAAGTTGTATTTCTCTCTCTTTCTCCTCCAGTGGTGTTTCCTCAGGATCTACTGGAGAGAGGACTTGACGCCAGTAACTTTGCCATGCTGGGTCTCGGGGACATCGTCATCCCAGGAATCTTCATCGCTCTGCTGCTGCGCTTCGACGTCAGGTAACGCCAACTCTCCTCATCTTCTTCCCGTCCTTCTTTTGCTTCTGCTTCTCGTATCAAAACGTTCTCTTTCTTCCTGCAGCCTAAAGAAGCAAAGCAAGACGTATTTCTACTCCAGTTTCCTGGCCTACATCTTCGGACTGGGCCTCACCATCTTCGTCATGCACACCTTCAAACACGCACAGGTATATGAGGGAAGGGGTCAGAGGTCATGCACTATTAAAAAAAAAAGAAAAAAAAAAAAAAAAAAAAAAGCACATGGTTTTATTATTTTCGGCATAGAAAAGCATCTGAAGCTTAAATCTAAAGCACTTGCTGGGATGTTGATGCTCTTCAAAGTGTAATACAAGAAATGAAAACAATATTTTCAAGGTTATTTGTTTTTAAATGTCTCATAACATGTTGGTATTAAAGTTTCCTTACAGACATTTTCCCCCTTTCAAACAAATAGCCCCTGCTATAAAAAAGCTTCAGGAACTAGAAGCTGCAATTAATAAAGTATTCCTTATTAAAAAAGTAATTGACCCATCAGAATTGAATTAGCTGTGTAATACAAATTCATAACCAGCTTAAAAAGTCAAAACAAATGAGGTGTTTTTATTCGGCTCAATCATTTGTACACTCTCTACATGTGTATCTGCTCTTCAGACATTGAACTTTGTTTAATCTATTTACACTGTGACTTGTTTACCAAGTGGAAGTGTCAGTTGTGAGTTTCTATTTGACTATAAAGCAACATTCAACGCTACGAAACCCATTTGACTGACCCATTGTGTGTGTGTGTGTGTGTGTGTGTGTGTAGCCCGCTCTGCTGTACCTGGTCCCGGCCTGCATCGGCTTCCCCTGCCTCGTAGCACTGGTCAAAGGAGAGCTCACAGAGTTGTTCAGGTGAGTTACCGTGGCAACCACACATCCAGGGTGGTCATTTGATGTTTGTAGGAGATCAGTCTCACAGATTCAGTTTGGGAGACGTTTGAATCGAGCTGAGACTGATTCAAAGAGATTAGACTGAAGTCATTAGGCGCTTTCACACCGCAGTACTTTTCCCAGTAGTTCCAATATAGTTCCGAAAATGTGCGTTCACACCAAAAAAATCCGGAACTAGAATTTAGTTCATGAGAACCTTTTTACCCCCTTTTCAGTCCCTGCTAGAGAGCAGGTACTTTGATGGGAGAAAAAGGTTCCTATTCCTGATTGGCTGGGCGGATTGCAAACCACGCCCCGTAAAACTCCCAAAAAGTTTTGTGAAGCCGCCATTTTATTATCCTCGCGCATTAGCATTATTAGCATTAGCCCAGCGCAGAAACGCAGAGAGACTAACTTATGGCAACACAAAAAAAACATGGGAGATGAGGAGATGAGGAGGTGTCGGCGTTCTGGCGATTTACTCGGAAGGCTTCAGTAGAAGCTGCTGGGAGAGTCCCAGCAGCTTCTACTGAAGCCAGTCCTCAACTCCGGGGACTTCCGGCCGGGGACTTCGGGTGGCAGTATACGCCATGAAGTGGTTTGCGGCCTGCCAGTAAACCTAAAGCAGAAGAAGAAGAAGTGACGTCAGCGGCTTCATTTGCCTAATCTTCCCTCAGGGACTTATTCCGGTGTGAACGCGATCTGTATTTAGTTCATGCGAACTAAAGAGTTCTGATGAACGGCAAAGTACTTGCTGTGAAAGCGCCTATTGGTACATAAACCCCACAGCAGTTCATTGTGCTATAGGGTGACCAGATGTCCCGCTTGACAGTTCACGCGTCGACATTTACATGTCCCACACAAACATACTCTCTGTCCCACTTGTGGCTTTCTGGCCCCTGGTCACCCTCGCTATACAACAGGTTTGCGGAATAACTGAGTATTTAGTCTAAACTTTGTTTGTACTGTTGTTCATATTATCTGATGATGGTAAACATGTCCTAAAATATCAAAAAATGTAGGGGTTTGCATTTCTTGGTTTGAGTACTAAAACATTTACATCTATAACGGTACGTCCACACAGCGGCTTTGGAAAAAGCTTGCCGGTGGGCGTGTCTGAAGCTCGACCAACAACCAATCACATGAATCTCCTGACACACAAGCAGCGGTTTGATTGGCTAGAGCTTGTACTGGCATATGATTTGATTGGCTGACGCTTCCACCGAAAGCTTCAGAAGATTCAAAAGTTGAACATTGCTCAACTTTTGAATCCTGAGATGCCTGGAAATCTCCGCTTTGCATCCCACAATGCAGTTCGGCAAAAAGTGAGGCAAAGTGACGTCACCCCATTCAAAGTGAATGGGCAGAAGCGTTTTAACGCTGCTGTGTGGACGTACCGTAACTGTGTTCAAATGTCAAAGCTGGTTGGAGTGAAACCTTTTTGAATCCTCATTAAATAATAAATAAACAAAAAAGCCTAAATAACTAAAACTATCAAAATACAGAATGACATTTTTGTAAAATCCCTCTCTTCAAACGTTGCATCATTCGATGTTTCAGAGCTGGCCAAGTTCAGACAGTAGATTATAAAGCTGTCTGTCTCCATCTTTGAGTGACAGCCCTCATCTCTAGGCGTCGTCATTTAATTTCCCAAATCCTCGTCCAGTCCCTCCTCGTCCTCCTCGGCTCCCTTTCTTCTACTCTTTCCTTTTTTATCTCGTCATCTTCTCTGCTTCATCACTCCCTCCTCTCATCCTTTCCCCTTCTCGTGTCCTCTACTTTATCCTATCATTTCTCAGATACAAATAGTAGTTGTAATTTACTTTAACTAAGATAAAAAACACTTACCACATTCTCTCTCTTTCTCTCCTCCCCCTTTTCACCTTTCTTTACCTTTCTTTTCTTTTATATCTTTTTTTTCTTATCCTCTTTTTACCACCTATATTTGTCCTTCATATTTTCTCCGCCATGTCTCTCCTCTCTTCTCCTCTCTTCTCCTCTCCTCTCCTCTCCTCTCCTCTCCTCCCCCCTGGTTAGCTTTGAGTCTTCAGAGGAGGTCCTCCCTGCCTCCCCCCGCCTCACCTCCTTCCCGACCGTCAGCGGCTCCCCCGCCAGCCTGGCTAGCTCCATGGACGCTGTCTCTATGCTGACACACTCCTCCCCTCGTCGCCGCCGGTTACAGCCCAACTCCATGTAGAGGCCCCGCCCCCTTCTCTTTTTACTCTCCCCTTCCTGTCTCACCTGGGCAGGTAAACAGGATTATAACGAGCGCTGCCATCAATCCATCCGTCTGTCTATCGCTCTTTAACTGCAGACCATCACTCCATTATTCAATAAGGACAGTATTATCTCAATATCAGCTTTGAAGTTATTGTTAAATAGTTTTAATTTATGCAAAAATATGTTTAAAATAATACATTTTCAGTTACAGACTGTATTGTATCACCAATAAGTTAGTTAATATTAAAGAGTACAACCATGTCAATTATATGTTTGAATTAGGGTATGCAAGTTAAAGGTAGGGTAGGTAAGTTTGAGAAACCGGCTCGAGATACACTTGTTGTTATATTCCATGGAATGCTCTGAACATCCCGATAGCAATGAATATCTGAAGTGCTTTGACAAAAAATCCATAAAACATTTTATCTGTGGAAGCCGTGGCGCTGTAAAAAGCACGACCAATCATGTTACCCGGCCCGGCTAAAGTAACTGGACGGCCTACCTGCCTGTCAGCCTTCCATCTGTGCACAAACTTACCTCGTGCCCTCATTGGTCATGTGCGCGTTCGTGTGTGTTGGAGGAGGGGCTCTGTGAGGAAGTGGCAGATTTTCTCCGGTCGTGTATTTTCAAATTCGAGCGCACTCGAGCTGGTTTCTCCAAAATGACCGACCCACCTTTAATTCTTAAAGTACTATTGTTTTTATTTAATTCAGGATTCTGAGAAAAAATTATTCTGACTTTATTCTCCAAACTCAAACATTTTGTTTACTTGTGGTCGGATTTTAAATGTGTCCCTAATCCTCTTCCATATAAACCAAACAAGGTAATCTTTTTTGTAAAGTCCCTACAATACCATTTTCTGGCTGGGACTTCAGCTTCACAATATTTAATCTTACCAAATATTGCGTTTACTGCAACTTGCATATTGCACTAGTCCATATTACCGTGTCAATATTATTTCAATTAATTGTGATAAGTGAACTCTGTGTTGACTCAGTCCCCACTGTTGTGTTGCCCTTTAGCGTGATTTAGTTTTTAGCGTTAGTATTTTATTACAGGTCAGGCCCTGTATGGATGACTTTACTCTGAGCTGTGTTCCTCTGTCTTCTGTACAGTTATGAGGAGACCGTTCCCGAGGACACGGAGGCTAAAGAAGACGACGAAACAGAGAAGAAGGACCAATAGCACCCATCGCTTCCCCCCCCCACCACCATCCAGCCTGCTGCCGCCACATTTCAACGAAGCCCCTCCCTCTCCAGCTTCCTGTTCGTCGCCGGGCAGGGATCTCAACAGGGGGCTCTCACGTAGCCAGCGTTGTTCGTGTCTGGTCTCCGTGGTAACAGCTGCTGTCGTGCGAGCGACGATGGTGTTTGTAATTAAAGGTTGTTTCGTTACGACAGCTCAGACTCTGTGCCTGCCATGTCTCCTCTGTCTGTCTCTCAGCTGCACGCACACAGGGAACACACACATCCTCTGCGGCTTTCCCCCCCAAAAACACACACACACCGAGTGTTTTAATGTACGTTTAATAATATGCATGTGAAAGCAGACGCAGCGTCACCAGATCTGATCCGCTTGTGTGTTTGCAGCTCGTTGGCTCAGACCAAGAAACCAGTAAACTTCCACTGTTTGAAAGAGCGTATAATGCCGCCTCAAAAGTGGAACAATCCCACGGTCAAACAAGTGCTTCTGTCTTTTGTTTCAAAGCCTCAAACAAAGAGCCACGACTCTCACTCTTTTGAATAAGGCACCTGAGCTTGTATATTCCACCGTGTGACTTCTCAAACTCCTGATTCCCTGTCGATCGTCCCGCGGTGGTTCTTTGTCTCTGGGTCTCTTCTCTGGTTTTATTTGGCGCCGGGTCGCCGCTCATTCTGCCTTCTGCTTTCTCACATCTGTGTTTCCTGTTTTGTTTTATTGTGTTTTTTTTGTGTTAAAGGCCAGAATTTTAAGATGGGGAACATTTTGTTTCTGATTGTAAACAGTGAGTTGCTCATGTTGTGTTTTTTTTTTAAACTTTTTTACACTTTTATCACAGGAAATAATAATTTTGTTGTCATCAAATCTCATGTTTAGATCTAAACCAACACTGTAAGAACATACATCTTTGAAACACCTCACAAATGTACATTTATTTAATTTTTGTAGAAGCTTCAGTAATTTAACAACTGGTAGCTTTCAACAAACATTACAAGCTGTCGTCTTTAAGATTGACCTTTTCTTGCTTTTCTTCCAGTCAGCCAGTGTTTTCAGAATTTAAATATTACAGGATGTGAAGATTAAATGAAAATGAATTGGATTATTTCTCTTTAATCCATATAGTAACTGTTCCACATGAAGTGTGGGATTGTTTTACATCATTTCTTACTCTGACTTTAGCTACAAATCACTCAGCTCTTTTTTTTTTGTATTAGTTCTGTTTCTTCAGAGTTACTGCTACAGGTGAGCATTTACCTGCCTGGTTAAACTGAAGTTGAGTCAGATATTTTGTACATCTGTTTTCAGTCTTAAAGTTCTGGCCTGTGAGGAGGAAGTCTGAACCTCCTCTGCTGAATATTAGCAGTCCTCAAACAGGCTGCGAGAGGCGGGGCCTTGTGGTCTCCTCGTCCAATGAGCCGAGGAGACCGGAGCGTTTGTGTTTTTTCCCAGAAGCATTCTCAGATAAGTAAACTAAATAATCTGGGGTTACGGACTGTTGGTCCAAACCATTAATTCATCATCAAATGTTTTCTACAATGATACCAACTTCTTCATTGTTGCAACCTTGTTTTAGAAAGCCGATAAATGATTGATCAGTTACAAACAATTGTTATCGCACAGTTGAAATGTCTTTAAAACCCATTTATAGGATGTGAAAGTAAAACAAGTTTTGAATTAATTGACCAAAAGAGTGAACAGTGTGCAGATGTTTCCCCTCGGATGTATTCTCATACACACCTGTCTTCATACAGATGTTCAAGTGTCTCTGCTGTGTGATTTGAATTTTAAGATGCCAAAAATGTCCAAATCTATTGCTTATAGTCAGATTTCTTATCTCACAATAGATGAGTTAAAAAAAGAATGTTCCAAATTAAACCAGCCACTCATGAGAGATCCCAAATATTAGGTGTTTGTTTCAAAAAGAAATGCGAACAACATTTCCCAAAATGCATTGTACACCTTAACATTTATTTTCTTTATTTGGTTTTGTGTCTTGTTTGTTTTTGAGTCAGAATTTCACAATAAAGTTCTGAATTTTGTCAGACTTTTGAGACTAGTCAGAATACTGAGATTTAATTATTCTGACTCTCTTCAAGATATTGACCATCACAAAACTCAATTTTTACTTTTTTAAAATTAGTTATTTTTTAATTACTTTTTATTTAATTTAGAGGTTTTTTTTCTTTTTTTTGAGAAAAGCTTCTGATTGGACGTTCAGCCGCCTTCATTATTCTCAATGTTATCGATGTTGTTGCTTTTTCAAAAAGAGGCTCAGTTTTTTGTATTTCGATGTAAAACAGGAAAATAAATGGAAGTATGATGCCCACATTCAGCTCAGTGACGTTCAGTAGCCCCTCATCATTTTAAATATAATGCACCTGAAATGTTTTCTGTTTTTATTTCTCTTTCTCTCTCTGGTTGCATTTGTGCAGGAAGTCATTTTACGGCCCTGACTGTATATCTATTTCATTTTCAATAAACGTTTTGGTGTTTTGATCACCGTATAGAAGCATCACTCTGAGTCAGTGTGTTTTTTGGATGCAGCTCTTTCTAGGTATATTATGACTAAGTAACAAGACTTGACATAAAGAGTATACCAGAACATAACAATTCTAAAAAGCATTCTTGTGATCTGATATCTCTAGGTTACATTACATTACATGTCACTTCTTAGACGCTTTTATCCAAAGCGACTTACATACTCAATACTGTGGGCAATCCCCACAGGAGCAATTTGGGGTGAAGTGTCTCAGGGACACAACGACATGCTGACTGCAGTGGGGTTTGAACCTGTGACCCCCTGATCTGAACACCAACGCACAACCCACTGCACCACACGCCTTACAAATAGTGAAAATGGGTTGACGGTACAAAACAAATAAAGCTGAGGATCCTCTTTAGGCACCTGACATTAATACAAGTGATACGAATGTAGATCACACAGCCAATAATTACAAAAAGGTTGAGTTGATTATCTAAACATTACCCAATAAGGTCTGTCCCATTTTATTACATGACAAGCACGCTATGTATTTTCTAGCTTTTTTTCTTTTTAAAGCTCTGCTGGTTTATTAATAAGCATAATTAAATGTTTTAAGAGATAGTGCTGTTGACCTTTTGGCTTTTATTCTGAAGATAAATTCAGAATTTTTACAACTGCAACTGGTAGCCTACTGATTAATAATGAAAATAATTATTTATTTCTGCTGCTATATCGGACATTCCTTTATTACTTTCTTTATGTCTTTGTTTTTGTTTAGTTAATTATTTAGTAGGTTAGGGGAAAACAAGGTGGTTCTGTCTGCATTGTGTTGAGGCATTACACTATTTCAAAAGTGGAAAAAAGTATAAACACAATACAATAAAATAAGAAATTATAACAGCATATAAATATATATACATATCTCAAAGTCAACTGTAATCAGAATCAGAATACCTTTATTAGTCCCACAGAGGGGAAATGTGCATCGTTACAGCAGGAAAGAGCCACAGACAGCTTGATGTTACATATGTTAAAAAAAGTTATGATATCATTAAAAATACTTTTCCAAAAAAAAAAATACTTTTCAAAATACTGTCATCCAAATAAAGTCATTTTTCTGTGTGTTTGTACAGACAGAGAGATCGAAATAACGTTTATAGTATGAAAGAGACGTACTAGTAGCAAGAATACTCAATAAAAAAGGTTCTGGATAGATTATTCTATAAAAGACTAACATACTGCACCAACAGATAGACATAAACTACAGAAGCAGAAACATATACATTGGATAGTATATACATGACTATTATACTACATTTCCTTATAATATTACAATATTATATCGTGCATTCCTTTATCATTAACATGGCTTTGTTATCTACCTAATAACATATAAATGTCAAATTACATTTTGGGGAATAATATTTATGTGATGTAGACAATTTATTCTGAAAAAATAATCCCCGGAAGTAGTCTCGTATTTCCGGCTGCCGGCAGCTTTCTGTGGCTCGGTTAGCTTCTTCTTTCTGCCTGTTTTTAGCCTTTTTTAGTTAAAAATGGGGGAGGCAGATGTGACCCTAAATCAGACTGACGAGAAGCCACCGGACTCGGGCCTGGTCACCGGGGACGACTCGGTGGTGTGGAGCCACGAGGTGGAGGTCTGTCTGTTTCACGCGATGATCGGACACAAACCTGTCGGTAAGAGACGGTGTTAGCATATTAGCATGTTAGCTTTAACGGTCGTAAACGGCTGTCCACTTCTACCAGTTTATCAGTGTTTCCCAAACCGGGGGTCACGGACAGACTTTGAGTCCCTGAAGTGACTCTGGATGGTCCTGGAAATGTTGTTGTTTACTAAAGTTAGGTGTTTTCTTGGAGATCATTTAGTTTAATCTGATTTAAACCAGATCTGAGACACCACGCAGCTACATTTAAAAACAACAACAACAACAACGTCACACATCATAATGGAATAAAATAACATTTTAACTACGACACACTTTCCCGTTTATAGTGTGTTACTTGTTTTTATTTCTTTTTACAATAAGCAGTGCAGCAGACATGGTTGGAAGACGTTTTTATATAGTATATGTAAAATTGACACATGTAAACAGTGGTGGAAGAAGTACTACGAAGCTTTACTTGAGTAAAAGTACCACCACATTAAGGTCAAAATACTTCATTACAAGTAAAGGTCCTGCGTACAAAATCTTACTTAAGTAAAAGTGCAAAAGTATTCTAATCAAAATGTACTTAAAGTATCAAAAGTAATAATAATTGGCAACATATTTGTGACATTTCTAGATACTATTGTGGCATCAAGTAGCACTTTACTGTTGAAGACAAAGTTCAGATTTACTTTTTGTAAAATATTAAAATATTTGAGTTAAAGAGTTAGTCCACTAGTTATATTTTTAGAGATGTATTTTGTTAAAAATAGTAAATGTAGTTGAATAAAATAACATTATTTCCCTATAAGGTGTAGTGGAGTAGAAGTATAAGTGTAATTAAATGGAAATACTCAACTAAAGTACTAGTAACTCAAAATTGTACAGTTCTTGAGTATATGTATTTAGTTACAACCATCTTCTGTACGTACATTAAAAAACTCTTACCACACAGTGTAAAAGTATTCACATTGTTGGATTTATATTACTGCTGCATTATTGTGTATATCGCATTTTACTGCTATATGTTTAAGCCTAATGTTAACTTTATTATACTCATGGCTAGTTTAATCTGAAGCAATGCATCATATTCAATAACATCATCATACATTTGGAGCTTTGTACAGAGACAACAACACGTTCCACCATGTGACTTCTCATGTTTTAATGAGTTTCTCAGAGAAACAGCCCTGTTGTAAGGATGCCTTTTCCAGCTGATTCAAGAGGCTTTTCTCAGACCTTTTTAACTGGGCAGGAATTGGATGAATGATAATCTGAAACGCTGTCAAATGTAGTGGAGTAATGGTACAAAGTAGAAGGTAAAGCCCCCTTAGACCCTCAGGAAATACCTTTTGTGGAAATGTTATCGATTGCATTTCTGTTTTGTAATATGCACTGCTCAAGTCACATATATAGTTTGATCTAACCTTTAATAATCATAAGGCACTGTCTTCAAAGTATAGTTTTAATATAATTTGGTAGCACTTGTCGCTTAGGCTCACAAGATGCGTATAATAATGTGCTATAAGTGTAAGATGGTAACGCACATTGGTGTCTGGAAACATCAATGTACTGAATTGTAAATGTCCCCTCTGTGGGACGAATAAAGGTATTCTGATTCTGAGAAAGTAAATAGTGTTTTCCTTCTTGTACTATTTATATTGTCTCATTGCAGTCCAGATATGTTTTAACCCCTTGTTCGCCATACAAAGCCCTTTTTAATTGTTCTATATATAAAAAGTTTATGCAGTCAGTTTGTCGTTTGCACACAGATTGTTAACTCTTTCTTTTTTTCTCTCTTTTGACTATTTGATTCTTTCTCCAGGAGTGAACCGTCACTTCCACATGATCTGCATCAGAGATAAGTTCAGTCAGAACATCGGGAGGCAGGTCTCCTCCTCCGTCATCTGGGATCATCTGGGAACCATGTACGACATGCAGGCTCTGGTGAGGACACACTCACACACACACACACACACACACACATACATACACACACACACACACACACACCATGTATACATCACTTCAGGGGACATTACATTGACTTACATGCATTTCCTGGAGACTTATCCTAACCTTAACCATAACCAACACATCCCTAACCCTAACCCTAAACCTAACCAAGTCTTCACCCTAAAATTAATGATTCCCCTTATGGGGACCTCCAATTTGTCCCCATAAGGGAAGCCAGTCCCCACACGTGACTGTGTAAACAGATTTAGGTCCCCACAAGTATATTAATGCTCGACCACACACACACACACGTATACACACTCATACACACTGTGAGTCGAGCATTAGCTGACAGTGTTCACAATCTCTCTCTCTCTGTGTGTGTGTGTGTGTGTGTGTGTGTGTGTGTGTGTGTGTGTGTGTGTGTGTGTGTGTGTGTGTGTGTGTGTGTGTGTGTGTGTGTGTGTGTGTGTGTGTGTGTGTGTGTGTGTGTGTGTGTGTGTGTGTGTGTGTGTGTGTGTGTGTGTGGTGTGTGTGTGTGTGTGTGTGTGTGTGTGTGTGTGTGTGTGTGTGTGTGTGTGTGTGTGTGTGTGTGTGTGTGTGTGTGTGTGTGTGTGTGTGTGTGTGTGTGTGTGTGTGTGTGTGTGTGTGTGTGTGTGTGAGATGCAGCACGAGTCGGAGATTTTGCCGTTTCCAAACACAGAGAAGAGCTTCTCTTTGCCTGATGACATCATCCAGGAAGTGAAAGAAGGTGAGAATAATAACATCAATAATTTAGATCTTATTTCTGTAATTTCCGCCTCATTTCCATTTAATCGTTTATTTGGCAGGGACAATGCACAGTAATGAACACTTAAAACATTCAAATGTATCAAGCGTAACAGTGCCAGATTTAGCTTTGAGCTCATTTCCATCCGCAGTCCCTCACATAAAACATTTAAGAAGTTTACATTTTACAAACATAGCAAAAACAGTTGACCTTTAAAGCTATTGAGAGTGGGACAATCCCGTATCTCAGTTGGGAGGCTATTCCACAAAGAGCTGCCTTTATTGGAGAGGACATTTTGTCAGAAAGTGGTCCGTCTGCGGTAGGGCTGTATCCGAATATTCGTTCGTTGGAGTACTATTCGGTAGGGATGCTCCGATCGATCGGTCACCGATCAAGATCGGCCGATACTCACTCTCTACCGATCGATCGGTGCTCTCTAAACATGCCGATCGCGAGAGCCGATCGCATGACGTAAAATACATGACACTTTTCTCTGTGCGCGGCAAAGCAAGCTCGCCAAAATGTCTTCACCGGTCTGGCATTAATTTAAGGTGTCCGAAAAAGACAATAAAATAGCGGAATGCAACGTGTGTGTGTGAAGCAGAAATCCTGCAGCTCCGCCCGCCGGACCGGTAAGCGGAGCGAAACACACAAGAGTTAGACCTAACACACTTAGCTATTTTATCTACCTCTGGAACAAGCTAAACTAGTTATAAATATATTTATTCTTCACTGTCGGGTCACTCATTACTGGATCAGCGAGCTGCATGAGATACTGACAGGCTGTCAGGAGAGAGAGAGGGGGAGAGAGGGGGGGAAAGAGAGAGAGGGAGAGAGGAAAAGAGAGCGCTTCCGCTAATTTCTCCCGTGTTATTCTCCAAAGTTAATGTAAACTTGAATAATGTACATCATTTGAATGTCATAATTAAGTTGATTGTTGTTTGTGGAAGCGCCAGTGAATGAGCATTAACTGAGTTTTAAACATCACTTTAAATGGAAGATTTAAAGTGACGTTTAAATCTTCCATTTAGGCCCCGCCCACTCGATCGGATCGGCGATCAGTGATCAGTATCGGCCGATAATGATTCCGGCGATCAGCCTGAAATTGGCGATCGGAGCATCCCTACAATTCGGGTTTCAATTTCGTTATTCGGATATTCGTTTTGTTTGTTTTTTCTCAAATTGAATTTATTGAAATCTCCAATATCAACGAAAGAGCTTGTGCCTCTTTGGGGGGTGCTAACACTTAACCATAAACGTTATCGTTTACTTTCTCCGTCTTTATATGTAGATATTACGTTTCTCCGTTAATCTCCATCACATTGTTTCCAAAGCAACAACAACTTCCTGTCAACAGCACTAACTCTCCTTCAAAATAAAAGCATGTCCATAAATAGGAGACATATACAACTGCAACGAAAGTAACAAACACAATGCAAATTGGGTTACATTAACAAATAACTATAAAACAACAATACTGTAGAATAAAAAAATGAATGCCGTGAATACACCGAAATACACGTGTTGAAGCGGTTCGCTCGCGCGGGCCGAATATTCGAATATGTGCTGCTGATTACTACCGAATATCCGGAGCCCGAAAAATTGTATTCGGGAAAGCCCTAGTCTACGGTGGACTTCACAGTCTCCTCTGGTTTCTGACCTAGTGCAGCGTCCAGTGTGTTTTCTGTGGATGAATTCCCCTAAGGGAGGGGGGGGGGGGGGCAGTCCATGTAAACACTTATATAAAAAAAACACATACTTTTAAAAGACTTTAAATTGTCAAAACTCAATAAATTGTGTTTTTCAAGGATGGTACAGTGGTGGTATGAATGTGGCTTCCTGTCAAACACCTTGATAGCCCTCTTGTACAGCTGTTCTGTGGGTTTCAGGTTTGTGGCACAAGCAAACGCCTCAGTTCCTTGTATTTGACATTTCACACATTAATAGTTGCTGACATGTGATGATGCTGAGGGTTCGGTGCCATAACTACAACATGTTTATTTTTAGATACATTTTTAGTCACGTAAATCTGTTATTTGCTGACAATTTTACACATTTCTGTACATTACTAGCACCAACACTGCACACCTCTTTCACTTTTAATTCCAGATAGACTAGGGATGCACGATATTGGTTTTTTGAAACCGATACCGATAACTTCCTGCTTCTCAAGACCGATACCGATAACCGATAATAATAGAATATATATATATATATTAAATGTACCTGTAGTTTTTGCACACCTGGTGGTAAAAAAAAGACTAGTAGTGAGCAAATGACATGAGCATTACTACTATGAACAAAACAAAGCCAAGAACAGTTTTGACTCTTCAAAGTGACCATATTTATTTTCCCAAATAAAGTGCCTTTTCCAAAAGCCTCGTCGATAGGTAAAAGCCCCGGTGCCTTTGCAGCTGGCTTTGGATTCGCCGCTAGTTTAGCAGCGCAGGCGTCTTCGTACGCTTTTAACACACCATCGTAGCGATGTTTCAGGTGACTAATCAGGTTGGAAGTATTATAGCTCGTTGCCTTTTTCCCTCCTCGTGGAACTTCTGCATTGCATTCGTTAATACAAATAGTAAGCGAACTATCTAACTCTGAAACTTTGAAATAGTCCCATACTACCGGCGACATGTTTGTTTACTGTCCTGGCTTCACGGCCGCACACCATTTACGTCACAGCCAGGCATGAGTTAGGGAGCGCTGGATTTGTGAAGAACTCCCCTCTTCCTAAACCACTAATACCACAGTACTGGCAAAACGGGAGGAGCCGAGTGAAAAACAAGCGCCCCTCATCCCAATCCACCCACACCGCAGTATTTATTCTTTTTTTTTACCCAAAAAATATATTGTATATTATCGGGGCTATTAATACTGGTATCGGGATGACGTCATAATTCCTAATATCGGACCGATAATTATCGTGCACCACTAAGATAGACGGTTCATATTTTCTTTACAGTCATTATCATATTCTTATTGTAATGTTGTATATTTACGTTTCTTGCACACATGTTTAGATCTTATAATAGTTTTTAATACATTTCTTCTTTTTCAATAGCAGCTCTTGTTTGTGCATTTCATTTTTCTCCGACTGTGCAAATGTATGTTCCAATATTCACCATATTCACATTCCTTGCATGTGAAACGGACTTGGCAATAGACAGATTCTGTGAAGGTGAAGTTATAATCAGTATCTGTAATAGTGTTGTCACGATACCAACATTTTGATTTCGATACCGATACCAAGTCAAGAATTGCGATTCCGATTCTTTTTCGATACTTTTCTTAAAAAAAAGGGAAACAATCTTAAATGTAATTATTGTGCTTTATTTCACACCAGAACCATAACACACACTTTTAAACAATGAGAACAATAAACAAAATAAATGACAATAATTCGTATTAAATCAAATTAAGCCTCATCTCAAACAACTTTTTTGTTTTATAAAATATAATTTTTTTTATATTTTATTAACATGTAATAGTAGGCTACAGTAATATAAATAATTATTGACAAAATGTATATTGCAGATGTTAGCCACATTGGTAAGTTAGCTAAAAAGATAGCCATATTAGACAGTTATCATTGCCATTAATTGCCTCGTCAAACTACGAAAACGTTCGTTTGTCACAAAATAAATTACACTTGTTTGACTTAGATTTGAGGGCATGGGCTTGAGCATGATGTAATTATGTTATCTATCACATTCGCTAACCTGTCTGTCTTTAAATTCTTTAAACAGCTCTGGATTCCGGTCGGCGGGTGCTTAGCCAAGTCTGATGTGTTGGCTCCCTTGGTTTGCAGGGATCTAAAACATGTCTCACAGACAGGCCTCGTGGTGTCCGTAGGCTTGCCCTCACTTTGTCCACACTACAGCTTCAAAAAAAGCTTGGAGCTGGGCGCGTCTGAAGCTCGACCAACAACCAATCACATGAATCTCCCGCCCCTGACACACAAGCAGCGGTTTGATTGGCTAGAGCTTGTACTGGCATATGATTTGATTGGCTGGCACTGGCTACTCCGGCGTCTTGAACAATGTTCAACTTCTGACGCCGGAGACGGACCGCTCTGCTACCCACAATTCAGTTTGGCGAAAAGCGAGGCAACGTGACGTCGCCCCATTCAAAGTGAATGGGCAGACGCGTTGGAAACCGTTTTTGAAGCTGTCGAAGCTGTAGTGTGGACGGGCCGTCACTGTCAGAGATATAGTTCAAATACTTCCAAATTTCGCTTCTGCCGTTTTATTTGTCAACAAGCCGAGGCGCAGCGGTAGTTGCACTCCCACTTGCAGCCATGCTTCTCGTTTTCTCACATGCTCTGGCAGCTAGAGCGTGGCCGCGTGCACGAGAGAGGGGAGGCACTTAGAGCGTGCTTGAGAGGGGCAGGACTGCAGGCACGGCTGCAGTGCAGGGAGTGGAAGCAGAGCGCTGATCATACACGGCTCTTATTAAAACGGCGCTTTCTCACCGGAGTACTTTTCCCCGTCATTCTTAAAGTACCGATACTAATGAAACGGAGGAATCGTACCGTTTGTAACGGCAGGGTATCGCGGTACCTTTCAAGTATCGGTACACCGTGCAACACTAGTCTGTAATAAATACTGATCAATGCTAATAGCTAGCTGTTTTCAAGGTAGGCGCAGAAATAAAATCAATACATCTAGACAATGCTAATTTCCTCTTACATGAAAGCCTACATAAAGATAATTGTTGACGTGCATCCTGAGAGGAACATGAATGTCAATAGTTGATGAGATATTTCAGAGGCACTTTCTCTATGCGTCACTTTCGATTGAGTCATAGTCTGTGGTTTTGAGTCACTGAAGTGGTAAATGTTTTACTCCTTTAACTGTTCTATATATTGTCTCTGTGTTTGTAGGGAAGCTGGGCTCGGAAGAGGAGACCAAAGAAGAGTTCAGGATGGAGAGGGAACCTCCAGCTACACATGAAGAAGGTAATACTCCTCACTCCCCCACCACCACCATATCTTTGTAATGCTCCCATCATATGGAGTGCTCTGGTAGCTGAAGGGTTCAGGTGCCTGACATCTGAAGTAGGGGTCGACCGATAATCGGCTTGGCCGATATTCGGCATTTGACCGATTATCGGTATCGGCCTTTTTTTATCAAATTGCCGATAAAACTTTGGCTCTGATGCGGCCGTTTCTCTGGCTGCAGTCACCACTCTGTGTACACGAGCAATGTCCCGCCCACAGTGCTATCTGATAGGCTATTACTGAAGATTTTCCGGGCGGGAGCCAGCCAGAGAGGCGGGACCTTCTCAGATTACAGGCAGGTGCGAAAGAACGCAGACACAGACTGAAGCAAGCAGCAGCGCTGAGCGGCAGAGCCATACATGTGTTAAACCGAAGTTCAATAAACATCCCTATCCCCTACGCTGAAGTTGCAAAAACACCAAGATCTATTGATCCAATTCTATCAGTTTCCCAGTTACAGTCAGTCAGATTTGGGGGTGCGTGCAGCGTCTCGCAGCGGAGTAACTGGGGTGGGGGGGAGGGGCTGCGAGTGGAGCCTCGCAGTTTTTCAGGTTGATATGTGAAGCTCATTAGCTAGCCAACATGTATCTAGCAAATGTTTAGCAAAATATTAGAAGTGAGGCTACTAGACTAACGTTAGGTCTACTGTAAGAGCCTCACTTTTAATAGTTTGCAAAACATTAGCTAGCACTAGTGTTTTGCAGTTGCTAGCAGCTTATTGGGATGTTATGCTAGATAGACAGATCTAATAAATTAAGCATTATTGTTAGTTAAGCATGTCAGCCTGCAGCCCCACTTCTTGTCTCTCTCTCTAACTCATTGCAGATAACTGCACTAAAGAAAAGGGCACAGAGAGGAAACCAGTTGTAAGATGTTTAAAAGTTAATTAAACATAATATAGGCTTAAATGCATTTCAAAGAAGTTGTGTTGAGTTGTGTTGAGTTTGTGTTATTCTACATTTTGACACCAAGATTTTCTGATTTTACTGCAAATGTATATCGGTTCCAAATATCGGTTATCGGTCTCCTTGATTACTAATAATCGGTATCGGTATCGGCCTTGAAAAAGCCATATCGGTCGATCCCTAATCTGAAGTATCCCCCCTTTGTTCTGCAGCTGAGCTTTGTCTCATGTCAAACCTTTTCATGTCTCTTTACACTTTCTAAATTAGAAACGTTTCTTTCACATTGTAGGGAAGATTAAATACAATCTAACATTTACAGTTCATGTTTCTCCCATAAATACCTTGTTTGTTTCCTTGAGCTCTCACCAAAGTGTGTCATTTTTTGTAACATTTGCAAAGCTGATTTTTTAAAATTAGGTCAAATCCAGCATTGTTTTTAGATCCTTCTTTACTCGCCGAGCAGCTTGTTAAATTCTGTGGGCATTACTGCCTCCTTTTAACCTGTTAGGCCCCGAGCCTGTTCTCCAGGTCTCAGGCTCGAAAATGACATTTCCAGAACAAATGACCATATCTTCTAAAAGGGTTACATTAATAATCTTTTTTCTGAAAGCAATGATAAACCTGTGAGTTGGATGTAGAAAAGTCAGAATCAATATAGATGTTTTTATTTTAAGTAAATTCAGATTGAACATAGTAAAAAAAAATGTACATTATAGTTTCCGTCCAAAAAAATAAACATGACTTATAGTGAAAACCCTTGAATGATGGGATGGTAGACTAAAAGCTTTAGGAATCCAAACTATAACATATAATAAGTACCCTGTATCAAGATTGATGCAAACAAGTGACATTTGACCTTTTTAGAGAGATTTAGAAAAGTGACACAGACACATTGGATTAACCTTCAGCAGCGGTTTTATTGCCATTGAACACAACTTTTGATCTGAAACAGCTACGGTAAGACTCATTTTCAGTTTTTGTTTTATTAATCAAAAGATTATTAATTTACCCCTTTTTAGAAGTGAAGATATAGTCATTTGTTTTGGGAATGTCATTTTCGAGCCTGAGACCTTAAAAACAGGCTTGGGGCTTAAAAGGTTTAATCACTAGAATAGCCAGAAAACAGGCTGGTTTTGTCATCTAACAACATTTACAACCATTCATGTCCATTTCTGTCACATGTCGAGACTGAGAAACACTGACCACAATAATTTTCTTTATATAAAAAAAGGATTAGGATTAAAGGGGACATATTCTGCTTTGTTGGGGATCTTCCCTTCCTGTAGTGTGTGTGTGTGTGTGTGTGTGTAAAAAGGTTTGTGTGAGTTTAAATGGTCTGCAAAGGCTAACCAATCAGAGCAAACTGGGCTCTGGTTTCAGACAGAGGGTGCAAAGAAGCACAGGCAGTGTGAGAAAAATAAAGAGCTTTTTGAACATTAAAGCATGGAGACATGTCACAGTAGAGACACTACATACTGATATACACCTGAACATCAGCAGGAGAGGACTCTTTAAAGTAGAGACACTACATACTGATATACACCTGAACATCAGCTGGAGAGGACTCTTTAAAGTAGGGACACTACATACTGATATACACCTGAACATCAGCTGGAGAGGACTCTTTAAAGTAGAGACACTACATACTGATATACACCTGAACATCAGCAGGAGAGGACTCTTTAAAGTAGAGACACTACATACTGATATACACCTGAACATCAGTAGGAGAGGACTCTTTAAAGTAGAGACACTACATACTGATATACACCTGACCATCAGCAGGAGAGGACTCTTTAAAGTAGAGACACTACATACTGATATACACCTGAACATCAGTAGGAGAGGACTCTTTAAAGTAGAGACACTACATACTGATATACACCTGAACATCAGCAGGAGAGGACTCTTTAAAGTAGAGACACTACATACTGATATACACCTGAACATCAGCTGGAGAGGACTCTTTAAAGTAGGGACACTACATACTGATATACACCTGAACATCAGCTGGAGAGGACTCTTTAAAGTAGAGACACTACATACTGATATACACCTGAACATCAGCAGGAGAGGACTCTTTAAAGTAGAGACACTACATACTGATATACACCTGAACATCAGTAGGAGAGGACTCTTTAAAGTAGAGACACTACATACTGATATACACCTGAACATCAGCAGGAGAGGACTCTTTAAAGTAGAGACACTACATACTGATATACACCTGAACATCAGCAGGAGAGAACTCTTTAAAGTAGAGATACTACATACTGATATGAACCTGAACATCAGCAGGAGAGGACTCTTTAAAGTAGATACACTACATACTGATATACACCTGAACATCAGTAGGAGAGGACTCTTTAAAGTAGAGACACTACATACTGATATACACCTGACCATCAGCAGGAGAGGACTCTTTAAAGTAGAGACACTACATACTGATATACACCTGAACATCAGTAGGAGAGGACTCTTTAAAGTAGAGACACTATACTGATATACACCTGAACATCAGCAGGAGAGGACTCTTTAAAGTAGAGACACTACATACTGATATACACCTGAACATCAGTAGGAGAGGACTCTTTAAAGTAGAGACACTATACTGATATACACCTGAACATCAGCAGGAGAGGACTCTTTAAAGTAGAGACACTACATACTGATATACACCTGAACATCAGTAGGAGAGGACTCTTTAAAGTAGAGACACTATACTGATATACACCTGAACATCAGCAGGAGAGGACTCTTTAAAGTAGAGACACTACATACTGATATACACCTGGACATCAGCAAGAGAGGACTCTTTAAAGTAGAGACACTACATACTGATATACACCTGATCATCAGCAGGAGAGGACTCTTTAAAGTAGAGACACTACATACTGATATACACCTGAACATCAGCAGGAGAGGACTCTTTAAAGTAGAGACACTACATACTGATATACACATGAACATCAGCAGGAGAGGACTCTTTAAAGTAGAGACACTACATACTGATATACACCTGACCATCAGCAGGAGAGGACTCTTTAAATTAGAGACACTACACACTGATATACACCTGAACATCAGCAGGAGAGGACTCTTTAAAGTAGAGACACTACATACTGATGTACACCTGAACATCAGCAGGAGAGGACTCTTTAAAGTAGAGACACTACATACTGATGTACACCTGAACATCAGCAGGAGATGACTCTTTAAATTAGAGACACTACACACTGATATACACCTGATCATCAGCAGGAGAGGACTCTTTAAAGTAGAGACACTACATACTGATGTACACCTGAACATCAGCAGGAGAGGACTCTTTAAAGTAGAGACACTACATACTGATGTACACCTGAACATCAGCAGGAGAGGACTCTTTAAAGTAGAGACACTACATACTGATATACACCTGATCATCAGCAGGAGAGGACTCTTTAAAGTAGAGACACTACACACTGATATACACCTGAACATCAGCAGGAGAGGACTCTTTAAAGTAGAGACACTACATACTGATGTACACCTGAACATCAGCAGGAGAGGACTCTTTAAAGTAGAGACACTACATACTGATATACACCTGAACATCAGCAGGAGAGGACTGTTTAAAGTAGAGACACTATACTGATATACACCTGAACATCAGCAGGAGAGGACTCTTTAAAGTAGAGACACTACATACTGATATACACCTGAACATCAGCAGGAGAGGACTCTTTAAAGTAGAGACATTACATACTGATATACACCTGAACATCTGCAGGAGAGGACTCTTTAAAGTAGAGACACTACATACTGATATACACCTGAACATCTGCAGGAGAGGACTCTTTAAAGTAGAGACACTACATACTGATATACACCTGAACATCAGCATGAGAGGACTCTTTAAAGTAGAGACACTACATACTGATATACACCTGAACATCAGCATGAGAGGACTCTTTAAAGTAGAGACATTACATACTGATCAGAGGTCGCGTTAACCAAATATTTTCCGTCTATGACAGATTTTTTTTTAACAATGACGGACAAATCTGAAAGCAGTCCGTCATTTTGACAGATTAGAACAAACTCGGAACAGCGCCAAAGTTTCCCCGCAGCGAGGCTCCGGTGTTATGCATGCCCTCCAAAAAGGAAATCATACCGTTTCCAAACCTAACTGTGCCGTACAAATCATTGAAATGTCTGTGAGTTTTTGGCTTTACGCTGTGCACGCTCCCGCGAGGTGCAGCAACCATGCATAACACGGCGCATGTGAACTGTCCCCCCCCCCCCCCCGTTGACAGTTCACGAGCATGCTTCCCCCCCCCCCCCCTCGTCAGAGTTGTGTAAAGGCCGACGGGTAATTCTGGATTTTGACAGAAGTTTTACGATACTGTCCGTCAAAATGACGGGCAGTGAAAAAGTCTAGCGCAACCTCTGATACTGATATACACCTGAACATCAGCAGGAGAGGACTCTTTAAAGTAGGGACACTACATACTGATATACACCTGAACATCAGCAGGAGAGGACTCTTTAAAGTAGGGACACTACATACTGATATACACCTGAACATCAGCAGGAGAGGACTCTTTAAAGTAGGGACACTACATACTGATATACACCTGAACATCAGCAGGAGAGGACTCTTTAAAGTAGAGACACTACATACTGATATACACCTGAACATCAGCAGGAGAGGACTCTTTAAAGTAGGGACACTACATACTGATATACACCTGAACATCAGCAGGAGAGGACTCCTTAAAGTAGAGACACTACATACTGATATACACCTGAACATCAGCAGGAGAGGACTCTTTAAAGTAGAGACACTACATACTGATATACACCTGGACATCAGCAGGAGAGGACTCTTTAAAGTAGAGACACTACATACTGATATACACCTGAACATCAGCAGGAGAGGACTCTTTAAAGTAGAGACATTACATACTGATATACACCTGAACATCAGCAGGAGAGGACTCTTTAAAGTAGAGACACTACATACTGATATACACCTGAACATCAGCAGGAGAGGACTCTTTAAAGTAGAGACACTACATACTGATATACACCTGAACATCAGCAGGAGATGACTCTTTAAATTAGAGACACTACACACTGATATACACCTGAACATCAGCAGGAGAGGACTCTTTAAAGTAGAGACACTACATACTGATGTACACCTGAACATCAGCAGGAGAGGACTCTTTAAAGTAGAGACACTACATACTGATATACACCTGATCATCAGCAGGAGAGGACTCTTTAAAGTAGAGACACTACACACTGATATACACCTGGACATCAGCAGGAGAGGACTCTTTAAAGTAGAGACACTACATACTGATATACACCTGAACATCAGCAGGAGAGGACTCTTTAAAGTAGAGACATTACATACTGATATACACCTGAACATCAGCAGGAGAGGACTCTTTAAAGTAGAGACACTACATACTGATATACACCTGAACATCAGCAGGAGAGGACTCTTTAAAGTAGAGACACTACATACTGATATACACCTGAACATCAGCAGGAGATGACTCTTTAAATTAGAGACACTACACACTGATATACACCTGAACATCAGCAGGAGAGGACTCTTTAAAGTAGAGACACTACATACTGATGTACACCTGAACATCAGCAGGAGAGGACTCTTTAAAGTAGAGACACTACATACTGATATACACCTGATCATCAGCAGGAGAGGACTCTTTAAAGTAGAGACACTACACACTGATATACACCTGAACATCAGCAGGAGAGGACTCTTTAAAGTAGGGACACTACATACTGATCAGAGGTCGCGTTAACCAAATATTTTCCGTCTATGACAGATTTTTTTTTAACAATGACGGACAAATCTGAAAGCAGTCCGTCATTTTGACAGATTAGAACAAACTCGGAACAGCGCCAAAGTTTCCCCGCAGCGAGGCTCCGGTGTTATGCATGCCCTCCAAAAAGGAAATCATACCGTTTCCAAACCTAACTGTGCCGTACAAATCATTGAAATGTCTGTGAGTTTTTGGCTTTACGCTGTGCACGCTCCCGCGAGGTGCAGCAACCATGCATAACACGGCGCATGTGAACTGTCCCCCCCCCCCCCCCCCGTTGACAGTTCACGAGCATGCTACCCCCCCCCCCCCTCGTCAGAGTTGTGTAAAGGCCGACGGGTAATTCTGGATTTTGACAGAAGTTTTACGATACTGTCCGTCAAAATGACGGGCAGTGAAAAAGTCTAGCGCAACCTCTGATACTGATATACACCTGAACATCAGCAGGAGAGGACTCTTTAAAGTAGGGACACTACATACTGATATACACCTGAACATCAGCAGGAGAGGACTCTTTAAAGTAGAGACACTACATACTGATATACACCTGAACATCAGCAGGAGAGGACTCTTTAAAGTAGGGACACTACATACTGATATACACCTGAACATCAGCAGGAGAGGACTCTTTAAAGTAGGGACACTACATACTGATATACACCTGAACATCAGCAGGAGAGGACTCTTTAAAGTAGAGACACTACATACTGATATACACCTGAACATCAGCAGGAGAGGACTCTTTAAAGTAGGGACAATACATACTGATATACACCTGAACATCAGCAGGAGAGGACTCCTTAAAGTAGAGACACTACATACTGATATACACCTGAACATCAGCAGGAGAGGACTCTTTAAAGTAGAGACACTACATACTGATATACACCTGGACATCAGCAGGAGAGGACTCTTTAAAGTAGGGACACTACATACTGATATACACCTGCACATCAGCAGGAGAGGACTCTTTAAAGTAGAGACACTACATACTGATATATACCTGAACATCATCAGGAGAGGACTCTTTAAAGTAGAGACACTACATACTGATATACACCTGAACATCAGCAGGAGAGGACTCTTTAAAGTAGAATCTTAACAAGGTTTTGTGTAAATATGATTTGCTTCCTGTCTCTCTTTCTCTGTCTCCAGGCAGTAACTCATCGGTGAAGATGTCGGAGCGAACGAGCAGCAGTCGGGAAAAAGAGCGAGAGCGGGAAAAGGAGAAGGGAGGGAGTGAAGGAGGAGCAGCGGCGGCAGGAGGAGGAGGAGGCGGCGGAGGAGGAGGGAAAGAGGCGGAGAAAAGGAAGAGGAGTCGAGCTGCGGAGAAACTTCTGTCGTCTTCCAACCCTGCGAGCCCGGGGGGAGCCAAGAGGAGACGCACCTGAGAGGTGGACAAAAAGAGACAAAGTGTGTGGTGGAAATGGGGAGGAAACTGCAGTTAAAAAAGAAGTGAAGAAGAATCTAACGTCAGGAAAATGGACCCTGTGAGCTGTGTTTGCCCGCCGCACTGCAAACAGGGAAACTGGAGGAAGTGGAGGAGGCGCTTCCTGTGTTCCACACGATGCTGCCCAATATCCCACCGCAACAAAGCGTGTCGTTCAATTTTTATTTTATCTTTTTATTCATTTGTTCAGGGTGTGTTTGATTTAATCTGGGTCATTTTTACAGTGTTCTTACAGCCGCTTTAAAAAAAACATTCATAATTGCACTTCTTTAACACTGTCAGAATCATGAGGTATCGTCGTCGTTTCTGTCAAAAAACGGCCGCCTACATTACCCACAATGCAACTCAACAGCCAACAATTTGCCTAGAGGTTTGAGGTGTGTTATGCTAGTGGCGGCTAAGGCAGAGATCTGGTAATCTCACCTCTTTCCAGATTTTTTTACTTTTTAAACTCGTAGTCTTTGTCCTCTGACGCTGACCCACTTGAGGACATTTATTAGATACTCCTTCTGGAAAAAACGTTATACTTCTTTCAAAACATCTGCAGTCGAGCTTCACAACCTCTGGAAACTAACTGAGCTGGATAGAGCATGGATGTTCTCTTTCGTGCAAGAAAACATGAATTCCATAATCTCCTTTAGAGTTTAATATCTCTACAGTAATATAAAATACTACAATGTGGAATCGGAGTTCAATATTCTTTGTTTTTAAAAGTCAACAGGATCTATCAGTTCTATCTCAAGGTAACACACGTCATTTTAAGAAAGGTTGGTGCATAATTGTTTTTCCTGATTGCTATGATTATTTTATTCAACATGATTTGGAGTGGGAGAGACCAGAGGAAGACTCGGCTCGCCTGAAGTCAGCTAAGTCCCACGTGTCACGGTTTTTGAGGTTTTTATCGTCTGACTTAAATATAATGCAATAAATCTCAGCGGTCATATTTTCTTTATTCTCCAATTATGGATATTATAACATTTTGTAAGTTTATTGAGTATTTTGTTTTGTCTTATTTTCTGATGCTGACAGTGACTGCATAGGGGTCAATGTCACATTATGCTATTGCTAAATATATATATATATAAACTATATATATTTAGCTTTTCAGTCTCAACTAACAGGGAAATTACACGCTGTTCCCTTTCGTTTTTCAGCAACATGTTAATTTATTGATGTTTGAGGCTGTTGTGTCATTAAAGATGATCAGTAACGTCTCCGCCTTGCATTATTCAACCGTGGGAAGTAAATAAGTACTTTATTTATGTACAATTGAGGTACTTCAGTATTTTCATTTGATCCCACTTTATACTTTTCCTGCGCTACATTGCAAAGAGGAATATTTTGCCCTTTACTTCAATATGTATCAGCCAGCTACTTTACAGATGAACATGTTGTATACAACAGATAATCATTTAAAACAAGAAGATGCATTTTATATATTAAAGTAATTCAATGATTCACAGTTAGACCAACTTCTACGTTAAAATTATGTTTATGCACCAGTAATAGTTGTGAATTATTGAAGTCGTGTTCATAACTGACAATTTTACTTTATTTAAGAAACTTTACTATGGAAATCTGCACTTCTATTGCAATTTTCATGGTTTCTCCTTTTTTTATGTCAAGGATTTAAATGCTTGTTCCACCGCAAATAACCAAGGATCTCTGCCACAAACCTTTCAAAAGATGGAGGTTTAGAAAAGTAACATTCAAATATTAAAACGTAACACGCATTTTCCCCTCTTCTTACAAAGTTTCAAAATCAATTTATTCAAAATATCAAAGCTAATTAATATGATGTCTTTGCTCCTGATAACACATCATGTCAAAATGAAATCAATACAGTCGAGCTTTATTTTGAAATGGAACTTCCACAGATTGAAAAGTGTTGAAACGATTGTTAAATGTCCCAATAAAGTGCCTAGAGGCAGCTGCAGTGTGATCATGTGACCACAGGGGGGCGCTGTCCTCCTGCTGTGAGACGAAATCACACTTCATAATAAAAAGTGACCTGAGCAATTTATTGTTTTTGGCATCAATTTGATCAGAAGGGCAAAACTAAGAGGGGCTGCTCCTACATTATGTATACATGTTAAACCTTTCAGATATAACGTTTTGAAAGTCCTTTGGAGACTGTGTGGTTCAGCAAATCAGTAAATAACAAATAACAGAGATAAATAATTTAAACGTGAGGTGAAGTGAGAATGTGAAAGGTCAGGTGAAGGTCATAGGCTTTGATTCCTCTCATCTCACATCCTCTCCTTAGTGCTGCCTTTTTCTTCCTCCTCATGTCAACACATGATTTTTCACATCTCGTAAACACATCAACAGATGGATGATGGCTTTATATTTTACCGAACAAGAAATCAATACATCAGACACTGATTCACATAAACACATATCATTTCATTCCAAAAAGGTGCTTGAATATTTGTGTTTGTCTCTCTTCACTTAAAATCAATTGAAAACAAAGGACACAAAAGTTATGATTGATGAAAGTAGTAAATCGGTCAGATTTGACCCGAAGACAACAGGAGGGTTAAATGACAATGCAAAACACTTTTCCATTAATTGCACGTTGTCCTCAATGAACGCAGCTTGGATAAACATTGATGGCTTCTCTACACAGAAGATAAGCCATGATCATTTTTTTCCCCAACTCATCACTAGATTTCTAGCAGATTTCCCACACTTTTTTGGCTGGCGAGCTACTTTTGAAATGACCAGCTCACCGAGGTCTACCAACCAAAAATAAAATCCCAAATTGCAAGGGTTGCTGAATAACACGTTTTATTTATACATGGGATAATAGGGCTGCAACGACTAATTTGATAATCGATTAATCTATCGATTAATCGACTATTCGGACTATTACTGTATGCCTTGCACAATTTCTCAAACGCTCTTATTTAGCCATCAACTTTTAGATTTAGCTTGAGGTTGTTTTAGGCATGTGGAAACTAACAAAGACGACAATAAAGAGGAATACTTGATTCAAAAATACATATATTATTAAATTAACTTAACAAATTGTGAACAAAATTAACATTGCTTTTTATTTAAATTAAATAAATAATATTTCACATCAAAAGAAACAACAATGTTTTAACAAATCGTATTAAATAATCTGATGACAGAACTGTAAACAGAATAGATGAGAGTAACACCTACGTCACTTCCGGGCAACAATTACGGCCCCCCCCCCCAACGCTGTCATTTGAATGGCGGTCAATACAAATTCTGAAGTTTTTGCCAATGCGATCAAATTTTTTTGAAAACCGTGGATTTTTGGATCTTCAAAGAGCTCGATTACGATGGCCAGTCAGGCAAACAATTACATTCGATCATTGGTAATCGACAATCGGTCTTGATATATGGTTAAATTAAAATCAGTAGGCGAGGCTGTAATTTCTCCAGCTGTTACTCTCATGAGCGAGGCAGAACATAATAGTTTTATCATGCCAAAAAGCTGCTGTGTCGTTTATTGCACCTCAAACATTAAAAATAATCCAGAGTTACGTGTTTCTGTACTTCGTCTAAGAAGAAAGGACAGTAAAGGAAGAGCTCTGTGGCTTCAGGCTCGATCGCCATTCAAATGACAGCGTTGTTTCCCCAAAAAGTGGGCGGGGCCGTAAAGTGACGTAGATGTTACTCTCATCTATGAAAATCGATAGCCTACTGCTATATTTAACCATATATCGAGCCCGATCGTCGATTTCTAATGGCTTAATGCAATTGTTTGCCTGTCTGGCCATTGGAACCGGGCTCTTTGAAGATCCAAAAGTCTCCGGTTTTCTTTCATTTCTGATCCGATTGACAAAAACTTCAGAATTTGTATTGACCGCTGTTCAACTGACAGCGTTGTTTTCCCCAAAAAGTGGGCGGAGCCGTAATTTTTGCCCGGAAGTGACGCATTTGTTACTCTCATCTATAGCTGAAACTTTAACAAAATAAAGAATAACTCTGTTACCTCCTTTATTTTTGGTTGGTAGACCTCGGTGAGCTGATCATTAGCCCATGTAATGTAGTTAACTCCGTGTGTTGCTGCTAGCATACAAGCCAGCGCCAGTCTATATGGCGCCGATACAAGCTAGCATACAATACCTGACGTGGAAACGTTACTCGTGGTTGGGGCTACAGAGCTGCTAGAAAGAGAGTCGAACCCGGTGCATTCCTCCGTCTGAATGTGGTGCACTTTTGCTAAATGTTTAGACAAATTGCTCGTGTTACCGCCCTTACATGCTAAACACTCTTGGCAACGAGCATTGTCCACCTCAAGACGGGTAACATTTAACCACACCTTGGAACGCTTCTCTCCGCCATCTCCTCCGTCCGTGTGTTGCTGCATATAGCAGCTGCGTGTGTGTAAACTGCCCCGCCCCCTCGCACACAGACGGGGGAGAGAGATACAGGTCGAAAATACACCGACCATAGACGAATTGTTGTGTCTTTTTGCATGTTAGAAACGAGTTGGCGACACTAAGACTGCGAGATAATGTTTCTGTAGCAATAATACATGATCTTTCTCTTTCTCAACTCGCTAGGAAGTGCAAGCATTCATGCATTATTAACTGCAAACCCGACGCGAAAGTACTTACCCCCGTCAGGCAAAATAGACCGAAGGAGTATGATCGTCTTGGTCTTATTGTTAGTGGGAGACATCCATCTGAATCCGGGCCCGGTGCAGACAAGAAGCCAGTCCTGCAGGCTCGAGGAGCTAGCATCACAACTAGCATCACAACTAGCATCTCTTCCGCTGCAGCAACAACTACGCGACGACAACAGAGACCGTGGAGACAGCGGAGACCGAGGAATTAACGGAGACTTCGACATTCCCCCGGGGACGCCTCGGCAGACAAACACGCATGAGGCAGTGACGAGAGGAAGAGAACCGAGATCCGAGGGAACAAATATCTGCCATGTTGTTAGCCACCCTGCTAGCATATCAACGGCTAAAGCTACAACGGAGCCTCCCTCCCCCCACCACCACCGCTCCAAACACCACGGCAGGCCGCAAGCCGGTTGCTGTAACGGACAAAGACAAATATCTGCAAGCTGACGACATTGTGCATTTAAGCAACAAAAATGGACTACATATTTTTCATCTGAACACTAACAGCCTGAGACACAAACTGGCTGAACTCAGGCAGCTATTCATGAACGGTAAGGCAAGCATATTATGCTTTTCTGAGACCAAATTGGACAATTCCATTACAGATTCAGAGATTGAAATTGAAGATTATCTTGTAGTGAGAAGGGACAGGAACGTGAATGGAGGTGGTGTCTGCATGTACAGTTTCATAAAAGTCAGTCAATGCTTTCCAAAAGCACGAGCAGTGAACTCCAGGCCCACGTGACTGAACTAAAAATTGAAAGAAACAGACTAAGAAATGATGTAAGCTCCATGATCAAAACTGCCAAAAAGAATTTCATCAATGTCAAAACTGAGGAAAACAAAAATAAACCCTGTGAACTTTGGAAATTACTCAATAACCAGCTTGGCTGCAGTAAAAAACTCAAACCGAGATTTTCTAACTTAAACATAAAGACAGATAACAGGCTCATCACAGACAAACTGGATGTGGCCAAGTACTTGAACATTTTTTTCACAAACATAGCCACAACTCTTGTAAATAAATTACCCTCCCACTCAGGGCTTTTTGGAGTAGATCACATCATGACCTACTACAAAAACCTAGGGGTACGCAAAGATGATTTCAGTCTAGCAAGGGTAACAACAGCAGAGGTACTCATTAAACTGAGCGCCCTCCAACCTAACAAGGCCACTGGCCACGACAATATCCCCTCCAAATTCCTCAGAGACACAGCAACCGCCATCTCACCAGTCATAGCTCACATAATTAACCTCTCCATAAAACAGGGAAAAGTACCCAAAGACTTCAAAATTGCAAGAGTAACCCCCCTGCACAAAAAGGGCAGCAAATTGGACCCAGGCAACTACCGCCCTGTTTCTATACTTACCTCCATCTCGAAAGTCATGGAAAAAATAGTATATGAACAGGTCGAAAAGTACCTCGCGGAAAATAAACTAATCTATGAATTTCAATCTGGCTTTAGAACATCCCACTCCACTGACACATGCCTTCTTTATTTGAGCGACCACATCAAACAAGAGGTGGACGAGGGCAAGTACTGCGGCATGGTGATGCTGGACCTACAAAAGGCTTTCGACACTGTCAATCACCCCATTCTG